TCTATGCGCTGGCTGCGCGGTCTGTCGGCGGGGACCGTCCTTGTCGACGGGCCAAATTGCATGTGAGGGCTCTGCATGCTCTTTTTCGACATCATCTGTACGCTCGCCAGTTGATCTTGACGTCTTCTTCGATGAATCACCTGGTGCTCCTTCTTCCCAGGTAGTGCAGATGGCGGGTGGGCGCGTCATATTTCGACTAGGGGTGGAGCGCAGTTACCTAATGTGGCAGGGAGCAAAGGGCGAGGGAGGTGCCACGGGCTGGAATGCAACCAGGCACCTGCGCCGGAGACAAGAGCACCGCTGTCCGTTGCACGCACACGAGACTCACGGCTGGAGTGAGGCCTAGCCGTCTAACAGGCTGGTTATAAGTGTGACGGTGCTCCCAGATAAGCAGGGGCGAAAGGAACCAACAACAGAAAGCCTTCAATTACCGTCCTTCTTTTGTTTTAGGGCGCTTGACGTGAGCATCATTGATCCTTTCGGCTTGCTCGTGCAAACAACTCAACATGGCGTCGCCGTGCAAGTTCATGCACATCATCGCAACCTTTGCTGCCGTCCTGCTCTCGACTGCCAGCGCGGGTTTTAGTTCGTCATCGAGGACGAATCTCGCCGTATATTGGGGTATGACAGCTCAGGAACCAGCATCAGCATGCCTATTTCGAGGCCGTTGACTGATTCGGGCGTTCTTGTCAGGTCAAAACTCCTATGGCCAGAGCAGCTCTCAGCAGAGGCTTTCAGCCTACTGCTCCAGTGAGTAACCCGACTTTTTCACACGAGACTCCCACCAATCTTACTAACGCAATCTCAGACACGGATATCGACGTGAGTAGACCGAATCCGCTCTGGTGTGCATTTATGTCATAGACTGATGTGGCTGGCCAGATTATCACCATCAGCTTCCTGACCGAGATTATCAATCCGGTGGTCAATTTTGCAAATGCTGGCGACAACTGTACTGTCTTTACAGGCACACCGTTGTTAAGCTGCCCACAAATAGAGTGAGCTGGGTACCCATCTAGGTTTCAAGCTATTCACATCACTTGCTCATGTTACGTATCAGGGAGGACATCCAGCTGTGCCAAAGCACATACCAGAAGACCATCATGCTCTCGATCGGTGGGGCAACCTACACAGAAGGCGGGTTTAGCTCTTCAGCTGCTGCTGTCTCAGCGGCAAACAATGTTTGGGCAATTTTTGGCCCGGAACAGGCTGGCAGCACGGTCAAGAGGCCCTTTGGAAAGGCAGTTGTCGATGGATTCGATTTCGATTTCGAGTCCATGACTCAAAACATGCCGCCATTCGCCACCCAGCTCAGAGGCCTCATGACCGCAGCAACGGCGGCGGGCGGCAAGCCTTACTACCTCAGCGCCGCCCCACAGTGTCCATATCCTGACCTGGCGGATGACGACATGTTGAACGGCGGCGTCAGCTTTGACTTCATCCAGATCCAGTTCTACAACAACTATTGTGGCGTCAGCAGCTTTGTTGTAGGTGCCTCTTCTCAGCCCTCATACAACTTCGATACTTGGGACAACTGGGCAAAAAATGGGAGCGCAAACCCCAACGTCAAGATTCTCGTGGGCATCCCGGCAAATACGGGTGCAGGGGCAGGCTACACTAGCGGTAATGTCTTGCAGGCAGCGCTTGCTTACAGTCAGGGCTTCTCCAGCTTTGGGGGTGTGATGATGTGGGACATGAGCCAGCTGTACAAGAACCCAGGGTTCCAAGAGGAGGTTGTGCAGTACCTTGGCTCAGGAGGTAGCCCTCCACCCACGACCACAGCAACTACCAGTACGGCCAGCACAAGTACCACTTCCACGAGCACAGGGACCACTTTGACGACAACAACCGCGAGTCCGTCGTCTCCCACCACGTCGACAGCGACTCCCACAACTACAGCTCCCGGAACCGGCGTGACTGTGCCTGAATGGGGCCAATGCGGAGGTATAGGATACACCGGGTCCACGGATTGCGCAAGTCCGTACGCTTGTGTTTGTCTGAGCACTTGGTGGTGTCAGTGCCAGAAGCCGGCCTCAGTGGTCAACTTGGCATCAACAACCATGGCGACAGTCGTCGCCAGATCCACGACGCGTGGGCTTGTCGCGACATCTGCTACGTCGACAACAGCTGCTCCGATTGCGACCGGGAAAACAGTTCCGGAATGGGGCCAGTGTGGTGGTATAGGGTACACCGGATCGACGACTTGCGCCAGCTCTTTGTATTGCGCCTGCAACAGCCAGTGGTGGTGCCAATGCCAGCGCGGTGCTGGCGGGGATGGCTCTTCACCCCCAGTCGAGGATTCCAGCGGGAGGACAGTGGCACAGTGGGGACAATGTGGAGGGATCGGATACTTGGGCCCGAAGACGTGTGCCAGTCCCTACTCCTGTGCTTGCAATAGCAAGTGGTGGTGCCAGTGCCAGTAGCATCGGCTGCTCCCCTCAACTTTGGAACTGGGCCTCATTTTCCACAGGCTAGTCACACGTTCTGTGAATTGGCGGCAGACATCGGTCGGGTCGCGTCATTCGCAACTAGTTTTCTTGTCTCCAACATAGATTAGATCTCTTTAATGTGCCACTCGGGTCAGACAGATAATTTATTGCAAGTTTCGATGTCGCAAACGGCTTTGAGAGGTGGCAGTCAAGACGAAGAAATTAGGTCACAATCTACTAGTAGAGACCGAGGCGTTTCATCGCAGTTCAGTGCTTCTAGCACCCATTGTCGTGCACTATGCCGAGTGACTACTGCATACCGGTTCTGTCTATTTTGGCGTCTCATAGTCTCCGCTCTTGGCGTAGTGTTTTGGGGCATCATTACAACCCTGCACATGATTGTCGAGTCGCTGCTGTGTGGTCGAACAGCCGCGAGCTTAAAAGTCGTCACGACCTCTTTCTCGCAACGTCCAACCTGGCTGGGCTGAGGGAGATGCAGTCGCCGCGAGACCGAGTCAGGTTAGGGCTGGAGAAAGTGTGAGCCAAGCTTTGTGTCAAGTAGGGACTAAGTTGAGACGATGAACTCTCTGCTCGGCAAACTGTGCCGTAGCATGCAGATCATGCGGCGAGCTAGAACAGACTCATAAATGTGCCGCTGTGCTGTGAGGCGCTGGAAGGCAGCACCCTGGGCCTGGTCTGGTTGTTGTTCAGGCCAGGGGGTTGTCTCGGACATGGACTTCTGGAACCTAGCGCGGCATGACAGCCCACCTTGCACGTCTCATTGGCCCCTGGCGGCGAGCTCTTGGACAGGGAGCTCGTGCCGTGTGGGCGAGTCACTTGAGACGAGCGAAGGTGATGCCTCCTCGAAGGAAACCCACTTTACCGTACATAGTAATACTGTTTGGGCTCGACCAGAGAAGGGTTTGGCGTCGTCGTGGCCCTCGTAGTCGTCGTCAGTCGAGAAACTTGGGTGTCGCGACACGGACCCCCCAGCACCATCTCTAACAAGCTACAATTCTGTGTGGACTCATCCCTGTCTTTTCCAACCGTCGACCAGATCTGTTCGGATGCCTTATATACCCCAGACTTGGCACCATTCTGCTCCCCCTTCTCTTGGGCGCCTGCTTTTCTTATCCCGCTGGTTGGTGGTCTTTATTTACTTTATTTTCTATTCTCGTACACATATATTCACGATATCCCGTTCGCACTAATTAAAATGAACAACAAAAGCAAACAATACGACACGGTCTGGAGCGCCGACGATCCTGACCAGGAGGAATTCCTGTCCGAGACAGACGTTGAAGAGGGCCACGAGAAACAATGGCATTCAGATGAGAAGCCAACCAGGCGGCGGGGAAAGGCTCAACGATCATGGGCGACTTTAAAAGCACACAGGGGCCTGATCGACACATCTCTACTACTCGTTATCATTGTCCTGTTGAGCTTGCTGCTCCTTCGCCGGCCACCGCAACTGGAGAGGAGACAGATCGGAGGGGATTACACGGGGGCAGGCCCAGAGTGTCAGTCTCCCTCTCGAAACGCACGCATGCATGCGCGCACATGACGTTAACGCGGCCGTGTCTGACCCAATTAAATGAACAGTCCCTGCGAGAATCGTAAAGTGGAACGCGGACGAATCGTTCGTGCCACCCAACGCATCGGAATGGTTCTCGGAGTCGCTGCTGGGGAGGTGGAACACGATGATGCCAGCGGGAGCCGCCCTACGCTCGGCAGAGGAGGTCTTCTCGACGACTTCGATGACACATTCGCTGCATTGCCTCGTGAGTCCCGATCCCTGGCTCCCAATTCTCCGGCGGCCCCAGAAAAACGACTGACAGGTTCTCTGCCATTGGCTGCTAGTTCATGATGGGCCGCATATTCTCTGCGTTGTCTGGCAACATAACGGGTGTCCTTCCTGGCGACTATTTCACGCATTACATGCACTGCGTCGACTATCTTCGTCAGGCAGTCATGTGTAACGGGGATATGGCTATGGAGCCGCATCTGCCCACAGATGGCCCAGACAATGGCCCACTCGACGGTGGTTGGAACGGCATGCACGGTATGGGTCCCTCTCTTCTTTCCTGTGACGGTGCTGCTGGGCTACGTCCTAACGTCTCGGGATACAGTGTGCAAAGACTACTCACAAGTCATTAATTATCTGGATGGTATGTGACCCGTTTTCCCACCCTGGTGGTAGTAGTCCCAGCATGTTGAACATTTGCAGAACAAATCGTCGATGGGGTGCGCGTGGTGCTGCCAATCGACGACTGAAGGACGAAGGCCGGGAATAACTGGACCCTCATATTTTGAAACAGTCGCTGCCAGCGCTGCCAGCGCCTTCCCGGGATCAGTTCTGTCATGTGATGGGTTCAAGAGAAGCTCTCATACGATGTTGAGTCACCAGCACAGCACACCGAAAATGGAGCTGCGGTCTGGAGAGGAGGTACGCGGGATGGATGGCAGGCTAGCAAGACGAGCCCACAATATCGCTGGACCCATACAGTAGCATTCGAGCACTTCCAACTCACCCGTGGGGCATCTTGATTGCCCGCACATGCAGTGTCGATCAGAACTCGGACATTCATCCGGAGTAGCCCAGTCTCTGGCACTACATAGTTGTTGTCTGTTGGTTGCCGTTCTCGGAATCAAAGTGTATATGATCTTGCTGGTGAAAAGGGGCATCCGGGAATACCGGTGTGGCTCATACTATGCATCCTTTGGGGTGTCATGGATTTTTTTTTTTTTCCATCGAGAGCATGGGCCATACTTCACCGTCAATGCGGCCTTTCGGGGTCCTGTTTTGAGCTCGAGCCCTCGAATCGCTATGAATCGTGGCACAGCCCACCATGACGGGATTGCCATCTCATCACCACCATTCGGCACGGGAGCCATTCGGAGGCCAAGAAGCCAACCTTTGCACCGTCTTGATAGCCGCCGCAGCCAGGAAAGTTGACGTTGGCAGTCCATCCCGCCGCCCCACCAGTTCGCCTCGAAGGAAGGAGAGATACTGATGCGTCTCGTGCATCTTACGTGGGGGCCCACATTCCCCGCCGAGCCCCGTCTGATCGCAGGGCCCAATGGCCGTCGAGACGGGTGAGGCGTGGCTGGGGCTCGGAGTTGCAAGCTGCAACCCAGCTGTCAAGGCGGCAGGCGTTGCTCGAGGACCAAGCCCTTCCCGCTGTTAATAACGAGGGTGATGCGCGATCATGAGGACATCAGTTGTCGGTGAGTTTCCGTGGGCCTTCTGGTTGGTGCTTCCATTCGCCCTGATCCTGCACCAAGTGGAGCATTTCGATAGGTTTTTGCAGGGGGCCCTGCCTGTCGTAGCAGGGGTTTTATCTTTGATCGATGGAGGCTCAACGACTTGCAGATGGCTGCTAGTCCTATGAGCGGTGAGCACGTTTTGGCGCGTCTATGCTTGTCTATGTCGCGATGTCTGCTTTTGCTGCATCCGAGCTTACCAGAAGTCCGCCCGAGAGGTGCCGGCTAGCCATGCGGATCAGCTGATGCGTGTTTTGTACTGGGAGAATACATAAATCTGATGCGTCTTGCATCAAACTCTCTCGATAGTCCCGGACCGACCTGCCTCTCCCTTGGGTATATCATCAAACTCTCCCTGGCTTTCCACGTCTTAGAGAGCGCATTCTCCTGAGCCCACTCTCTTGCCATCTCTCGACGGTGCTTTTATACGACGAGATTTGACTCGTCATTCCGCTACCAACAGAATGGCTCAAGTACAAAGAAGAAACACCGATATAGGGGACAATGTCCGCGAGAAGCAGGAGCGCCGCAAGTCCGGAATTTTTTCCTTTACTCGATCTTTCAAAAGGTACGCATCGGCCTTCGGCCAATCTTTCTACTGTCAAGACTTTCTTAGGCTTTCCCTGTTTCTCCTGTGAGAGATGCCAGTCCCATTCTTAGATGGCAACATGCAGCCGGCACAGCTCGCCATTCTCCACGTTGTACTGCAATGTCTCCGTCAAGTGTGACAGTTCCACCAAAAAGTTGTTGATGGAATGAGACGTTGGACCCTGGAGTAATTTTCATCACTATCTGCCGTGGTCGTAGAGCTCTGCAGTCTCTGGCATTGCCATGAGGCTTGTCAGAGACGGGCCCTACTTTCCAGCAGAGCAAGCATTCTCATACAGATGTAGTGAGCCCCTGTCTTTACCAGAAGTCAAGCTTGTCGCTTTGCCCAGCCGTCGGCGCCTCATGAAGTCTCGCCCTTCCAGCTATGACTTTCAAGGAGAGTTCGGCCGCGATCCACCCATGCCTTACGAAGTGCAGCGCAGAAGACGTGCTTCTTTGCCCTTATCTAGCAACCCGCCTTTTCCGGCAATCCCAATGCGGGTCTCATCCCTTCGGTACTTCCCACTATTGATATGAGAATGAATTTGACAATGTACGAGGAAAAGAATAATCAGACTTGCTAACTCCGATCGTTCAGGTCGCCCACAGACGCTGGGAAGGGTGACACAACGTCATCACCAACGACACCGCCCCTCGAACCGGTGCTGAAGAAGACCAATTCTTCTCGCAGCATACCTGCTGCTACACAGACATCTGAAGTCACAGCTGAGGCAGAACGCCCCTTGGGCTCTTCTCCGCCTCGGCCCCATACGGCGGCGTCCACTGAGGCGCTCCAGAGGCTGGCAACCGGTGGCGACAAGTCCTCAGAAGGCCTCCCAACACCTCCCGACACCCCTGGTCCTTCAACGACAGCGACAGCCACATTAGAGGACGTCCAGGACACAAGCAATGATGTGTCAGCTCCCGACTCAACCGTCCCTACGTCAATAGACGAGCCAAGAGAGTCTTCATTGCCTGAACCCCAGAAAACAGTTCTTTATCACGAAGAAGCCGACCTTCAGGTCAGAGTCCAAGAAACAGACGGCACAAACGCAATCTACTCTGTCCGCTCCAGCACCTTGGAAAGTGCGTCTCGTGTCTGGAAAGAGAAACTCGCGTCGCAGACAACTAAGACATACCAGTCCGCCGAGCCTGCGTACGGACTAGATGTCATCTTCTCCATTGCCCACTACAAGTTCCACGATGTTCCCCGGATCCCCAGCATCGGCAACTTGTACGACGTTGCGCTTGTGGCAGAGAAATTCCAGACAATCCATCTCTTGGTGCCTTTCATCAAGGGATGGATTGCCGGGCTTCCAAGCCAAATCACGGTTCCCGGCGCCGCAACTGACGAGGACAAGACCCTGGTCACGGGCTGGTTGCTTGGCCAGGCTGAATGGTTCTCCAAGATCCTATCCAACTGTGCGTACAACGCACACATCGGGCCCGACGGTCAGCTCCTGGACTCCGAGGGCAAGCCCTGGGGCGACCAGCCCGTGTCTGACGACGTGGTCGAGATCCTCGCCGCCACGCGCCTGGCCGCGATCGAGAACATCATCAAGGCCGTCAGCGAGCCCGTCCAGAAGCTCCTGAACCCGCAATACTACCCCGAGGAGGACATCCGGTACTGCCATGCCCCCGAGGACGACGCCGCCCGCGAGGACTGCGAGCAGCTGCAGCTGGGCTCGGCCATCATGGGCCTCACAAAGGCCAAGCTGTGGCCGCCTCCCGAGCCCACGCGCATCAACGTCAGCCCCGTGCAGCTGGCGAACGCGTATGGTGATGTGCGCATCAGGCGCCACCAGGAGCCCGGTCTGCGTTTCAAGGAGGGCGAGTCCGTTGGTGACAGCCATGTCAAGTGCGGGTTCGGACACCGCGAGGAGATCGAGAGCATCCTGGCCACGCCTGCCCAGCTGTCGACGAGTGTCGTCAAGGAGCTGCACGTGAGGGCCAAGAGGTCTGGGGCCTTCAGCGAGGAGCTCTTCGAGGACCTGAGACACTTTATCAATGAGGACTTTGGTGTCGCCGTCGATGAGGACCTCAAGACGAATGCTGTGGGATACAAGCAGATCACCCTCGCCGCTGCTCCGAAGGGGGCGGATTCTCAAGTTCAGACCGAAGGTTAGTAGATTCCCAATGAGACACTCCTTGGTCAAAGTCTGACTGAGAATACAGAGAACAAGCCGAATGAGGAGATTGAGGCCTCTGCCGGAGGGGCTGATGAGTAGGTGGTTTCATTACCGGAGTTGAATTTTCAAAAGCGATGGGAAGAGAAAACATGTTATGTTGTATGATACCAACTTCCTTTAGGTTCTATTTTGTTGTAAAATGCCTCAGTTTGTGAAATAGTTGTGCTGTATTGTTCTGTTTGTTTGAGAAGAGTCCACATGTTACAAACCAGCGGTACATCAATTCCGAGAAAAAATGATCCAGCTGGGTTGGCTTTCACTTTGCCATCCTCGTAGATCATGGATACACCAGCTCTGCTCTCCAGCCCCTTCCATCTCAATCCTCCCCGCAAAATACACGTTCAGATGAATCATGACCAGTCACCTGTGATGCTTTACTCCATGTTGCGCGTGTAAGAAATAAAAAGCGCTGCCAGTGTGCAGCTTAGAGAGTTTATATATTCTGACAGCGCGTACAGTTGGGTGAGAGCCCAACATCAAATAGCCAGGGCTCTGACAGCTATTTCCCAATCAGAAAGCTCTTCCGTGCCAACCCGCCAAAGTAGAGCTCAGAAAGTCGCCAGCATACCTGGTCCCTCCGTATCTTCAAGTTGATTCGAAACGAAGCGTACTGCTCGTTCTCTCTAATACGCTAGAAAGAGCTTCTCGGCCGACCGGAAACAAAATTTGTAAGACATGCTACGTGATAAGGCGATGTAGATAGATACCAGCACTGCACCCATTTCATGCTCCAAGGTATAAGTATCCGTGTACATACAAATCTATAATCATATGAAGGTCAACATGCAGTAGTCTAGTATACTAGATTTTAAATACCACTTATAAGACGAACACTTTGAGTCGGAGGAATAGTCACAGTAAAAGGACTCTATTTGTAAGCCGAGGGATGTCACATACATCCCCAGTCGCCGACGATATTGAATTCCACTGTAACGGTTTCATTCCCTCTCAGTGAAGAACCAATTTTATTAGATGTACCATTACCAAAACCAGAACTGACTATTTCACGCTTTTCATCCACATTTGTCATTCCAGGAGGACCCAAAGGCTTATTATCAATACAAAATAAGCTGTCCAGCAAAGATCATTGGCAACCCCTCTTTTCTCTCCATGTCTACCAGATGCATTAGATTCCTGCAATGCTACCCATAATGTCATTGAATTTGGCGTGTCACTACGCCCTATTGGCCCAGGGGCAGCCGGGATTCAACGTTCCATCATCTCACCCTCTCCCTGGTCTTAGTAAGGCTTCAGTCCACACTACCCAATCTCCCGAGTCTTGAATGTCCGCTCCCGGCGATCCGCGTAATCTGGATCTCTTCTCTTATTTCTGCGGAATCAAAATTTCTTTTCGTCTTAATTGCGGTCTGAAGGCTGTCGTGAGACCTGCCATATACCATGTCGGGCAACAGAAATCGTGTTCGTGCCGCAGCTGTGCTGCTATTGTTGAGGTGTCAAATCGTTCTCGCTGGGCCGGACATGTGGGCAGCTTTCAACACGACTTTGAATGGTCGGCTGCAGTACCAGATCCCGCTTGCATTACCATGCTTCACCAAATACAATGGATTTCCCAACACCATGGACGAGGATCTTTGCTCACAAGTCCGCGAGAACTACGGGTCGCCCGCTTTTCGTGCGGGGGAGGCCGGGGCGACGATGAACGCACAGGACGACGCCTGTCTCTCTTTCCCGGAGGATCAATGCCTTCTAGACAACACAGCTAGTCCGGCGTCGCTCCCAGCCGCGAACAGCTCGTGTAACCAGGGCAACCTTGGTTCCTACGTCCTCGAAGTGCAAGATGAGAAGGATATCATTGCTGCGTTCGACTTGGCTCGCCATTACAGGGTCCCTCTCTCAATAAAGAATACCGGCCACGACTACATGACACGCAACACTCGGAAGGGGTCACTTACACTCTGGGTACATAACCTACAAGAGATGGCTTACCATGAGTCGTTCACACCGGATGGGTGCCATGTGGATGATACCGATCACGTCTACGGCACAAGTCTCACCATCGGAACCGGTGTAAGCAGCGACGATGCCACAGCCTTCGCGACAGATCACAATTCCACGATACTTGTTGGTTCCTCGCCCACCGTTTCGGTGTCTGGAGGCTGGGTGCTCGGTGCGGGACATAGCGTCCTGTCGCCCGTCTATGGTCTAGGTATTGATCGAGTGGTTCAGTTTACCATTGTGACCCCCGATGGGATTCTCCGGACAGCAAATGCTTGCCAGAACACCGACCTGTTTTGGGCTCTGAGGGGTGGCGGCGGCGGAACATTTGGAGTCGTCCTTGACGCCACGCATCGTGTCGAGCCTGTGATGCCAATCGCAGTTGCTGACATGAGGCTTCCCTCAAACGCATCGCAAGACACCGCGTTGGAGTGGATCGCTCTTCAAGCTCAGCACGGGTTGTCCTTCGGACGTCAAGGCTGGGGCGGCCACGCAGCTGGATCGTATCTGACGCACGTGAACCCGTTGCCGGAGATCGCGAACCTGAGCGACGGAGGAGCCGCAGCCAGAAACAGCGTGAAAGTTGCAAGTGATTTCATATTGTCAAACGGAGGGACAAGCACGGTCGAAGTGCTGCCGTCGTGGAATGAAGCATGGCAGAAGTATATAAAGCCTGCTGCCCGGCCAGTCGGGTCCATTCAGATTATAGGCAGCCGCCTCTGGCCTCAGGCTATGTTCGAAACGCAGGAGGGCATCGATGCCATCATGGGTTACGCAAGAAATTTGTCCCAACTCGGCTCCAGCCCTTCAAGGGCTTATGTGCCAGCGGACATGCCTTTCTTGGTTGAAGGAAGCGAGGTCGGTTACGATACGAACACCTCGACTCATCCCGCATGGTACTCAGCCCTCTGGATCTACGGCGGCGTTGCCTCAATGGCGTGGAACAGCACCTACGAGGAGCGCCTGGAGGCCGTAGTCAACTTGACAAGATGGACAGAGTTGGCCGAGGAAGTGATTGGCCCTGGAGGAGGGGCGTACGTCCACGAGTCAAGTGTGTTCACGAAAGACTGGCAGAAATCGTATTGGGGTGACAATTACGACCGCCTGTTAAAGGAGATCAAGAACAAGTACGACCCGGACTCGCTGCTAAACTGCTGGAAATGTGTAGGGTTCAAGGAGGCGAGTATCAGCAGCGAAGAGTTCAGATGTCAAGGGAGGTTACAATTGGAAGTGGAAGATATCTAGTCAAGGGAGTACATCATGGGACGTCCCACCATGGCCTAGTCAATTGCTAAAGGACAGATGATTTGTAGTAACAGACCTTGAATACAGACTGCTCAGCTGGCTTGGTCTGCTGGACGAATCTCTGCCTGGTCTCGTATCTTGGCCCTGAATTGCCAGAGACTAAGTGATTGCGCAGGAAAATACAAAAAGAATCGTAACAAAAACGAGAGCTTGTTTATTTATACCAGGACGTTGAAGATGGTGAACACTGATACTCGGATGAGGGGAGCACCAAAATGCGTAAAGGAAGGTTGGCTCGCGATGAGCAACACCGTTGACGGACGATCCTACGGTAACGACACGCAATCTTTCGCGTCGCGCCCTCGAAGCGGAAACATGCTCCTGTCTCCACCGGGAGGATACATTGACTACAAACCCAGGGGGCCCGCACGAGGCCCACACCATGAGAGCTGAGGAAACAGGAGTTGGATCCATCAAGGCTCCAGGATGGCGTCGTCATAGGGCGCATTCAGTAGCACGGTTCTAGACTTTGACGAGAGCTGTGTTGGACATGGCTTGCTCACATCCCGTTCTCCATGCTGATCCATGATAAAGCACCGACGTGGGCCTTGTGCTCTGGTGAGTCGACGACAGGTCGTTTATCCAAGTGGAGCGCAGAGACTATCACAAGATTGTGTCAGTATTGTGGACAAGTCATGCACTCAAAAGCTGGATACTATTCCCGTTTGTTATCCTACCGCCGTTGCCGTCCATTGCTGTATAATCTGGCAAGAATCGTCATCGCGTCCACTTCTGGTGGCCGGCTACGTCTTGAGGCACGACGGCGTGAGGGCACCAAAAGATATGCTTGACTCGTGAACATGCCACCGTGCCCGAGCTCGACCCGCTCGATCTTCGCGTTTGAGGCTCTATAATGAGTATTGTCCGTCCCATGTCCAAAGTTAAATGCAACTTGATTCCGCACATCCGACCCCGCTCTGCTCCCATTGGTATCTCGTCAATGGACCCGTGGTATTGTGATGTCGTTGTTTGAACTCACCCGGACCCTGGCGATCTGCGGGATGTCTCTCCGCCCAGGAAGGTTCCGATCTACAAGGTCAATGGCAGCCAGCGAAACAAGGACAAGCAAACATGAGTCTCGACGAACCGGCACATCCCCTTGGTGGTTCTCATTTAACTTGTTTTGGATGGTCCAAGATGGCTGGAGCTTGACAATTCCCTCAGATCGGTATGTGTCCTAAAAGGCACGGCCTCTGGCCGTTCAACGAGATGGACCACGTTCCAGGCTCTGGCATCGGCCGTGAGCTAGTCCAAGTATACACAGCCGGATCTTCGGCGCAGGCGAGGGACCCAGGGACCTGGGGGGCTACTGGGTACTAAGGGAGGCACCAAAATACATTCAAACCGCCATTGGCGCCCCTGCCTTTATCGGTCGCCAGGTCTTCCTCGAAACGCACGTGGAAGAGGCTCCCGGGCCGTCAGAAATCGGTACGACAAGCGCGGGCGCTGTAAGCCACAGGCGTCTGGGCGCAGGAACCAGTTCCCAACACCACCTCGTGATGCGCTTCCACAGTCCCAAAGCAGTTACCGCCCCCGCACGGCTGCCCTTCCGCAAAGCTGCAGCGTCAGGGGGGCGGATCTGTGGATGCTAGTCAAGCACAGCTTAAAAAAAGTTATCTTAAATCAAGATGGGTCCTGGTTCATGGCTTGGCATGAGCCCAGCTCCTGTCCGTTTTCCCATCTTTTGGATATCTCCAATCTGTCGCCCGAGCTGTGAAGTTTCCGGTGCACGCATCCGGCCAAAATGTCGGTATGGGAAAGCGATGACCTTGGTCTAGTGGCGTTGAGAACCACATGGGCGCTGTTCGGGGTCACGGCAGGTGAGATTACTCTCCATGGGATTGCAGGGTCCAGAGAAGCTGACGGACAATGAGAAAAGTGGTGTTTGCGCTGCGGGTCTACTGTCGACTTCGATACACACCACGACTCGGTGGAGGTCTCTATGTCGATGACTTCATCACGGGCGGGTGCCTCTTGATGCTCTTGATTTTCTGCATCCTGCTCTCTGTTGCAGTCCAGTATGGCGTCGGGAAGCACTATGTGACCTTATCCGACCACACCAAAGTCCAGGCCGTCATGTGGAATGCCATCCTCAGCGGCTTGACACCGTGGATGTGCACCCTGCCCAAGTTCGCCATCGTCACGACGCTCAAACGGATCCTGAACTACGGAACGAAAACGACAGTCCTGCTCTGGGGCCTTGCCTTGACATCACAAGCGACCGTCGTCGCGCTGACGGCCTGGGGCTTTGCCCAGTGCAGGCCGACGGCCTTTCAGTGGGATAGGAGTATTGAGAGAGGAACGTGTTCGAATCCGCAAATCTACGTCAACCTGTCATTCTTCGTGTACTCGTACTCAACAGCACTCGATGTGTTCTTCGCACTGTACCCGGTCCCCTTTGTGATGCGACTCAGCATGCCGCTCAAAACTCGCATCGGCGTTGCGGCGTCGCTTAGTCTGAGCTGGGTGGGCTTTGCGATTTCGATTTATAAGTTCTCAATATTCGACAAAATTGGGTCCCTGCTGGCTACGGACCGATCATGTAAGTTGTTAACTAGTCCCCGATTTGATTGTGTCATTTTCTAGATTTGACTGACGCATGTCAAACGAACAGTCCCTCTGGTCTATCTTTGCATGACCCACGCTGCAGAGGGCTCATTTCTTATGATTGCGACCTCTCTTGCCACTCTTCGCCCGCTGTTTAGATCGATGAAACGCCACGTCTCGACAGGTCATGGGAATAGCAACGAGCCTTCAAAACGACGGACTGTCGGGCATTCTCGGGGATTCCACTCCACTAGTCACTCGCAGGTCGATTGCATTATAACATCACGGAGCAATGCTGAGTGGGTTCCTCTCGATGACCACCCTGGAAAGGACATGGAGGCGAAAGGAGATATCATGGTTCAAAAGACGATCGAGGTCTCTGTATCGAACCACAGCTTGTCAGGCGAGACTTCTCAGAGTCATTCCCCTGTTTACCGTGACCCAAGGTGTTCTATATGAGCAGAACACGCCGTAATAGGGTCGGTTTAGATAAAAATCTTCAAAATGTGAATTCTTTAATCCTCATAAGCATCAAGCCAATATTGATGGTCGTTGGAAACCATGATTTCAAGTCTTGAGGCACGTGCCACTCACGTGGGATCACATCGACTTAATTAATACCGCTCACATTAGCTGGAGGGTGTTTCGCGGTCTACTTGACTATATAATCTACTGAACATTCAGCGTAATCTCGGCCGTCTTCAAGCCATCCGCCTGGGCGGTGACAGTGACTGGCCCAGAAGATCCCGCCGGCGCACGCACGATGGCAAGCGCGAGGCCCCTGAAGGCATTCCGCTCCTTGGACGGGAACGGGTTGAAATCCGTCGGGTCGCCGTTGTCAGTCGACACGATCTCGCCACCCGTGACCGAGAAGGTGATGGCAGGTTCGGCAGTGTGCACCACGTCGCCGTTGTCGTCGCTCACGGCGACACTCACGAAGGACAAATCGCTGCCGTCGGCGGCGATAGTCGTCCGATTTTGGTAGGTCGACAGAACTAGCTGTGTCGCTTCCCCGGTCGTCCGCACCGTGGCCTCTGCCCACTCCTCCCCGTCCTTGTAAGTCTTGACGTGAACCTCGCCAGGCTGGTAGACGACGTCGTCCCACCGGAAACGGTATCCAGCCTTAGTTTGACGGCCCTGGGATTCTCCGTTCACGAACAGCTCGGCCTCATCTCCGGAAGAGAAGACGTGGACAGGAGTCACCTCGCCGACACGGTCCGGCCAGTTCCAGTGTGGAAGGATGTGCGCATTCCGAACGGTCGGGTTCCAGCGCGATTGGTACAAGTAGAAACGATCCTTGGGGAAACCGGCCAAGTCGATAATCCCAAAATAGCTGCTACGAGATTGACCATCGTACGGGGTCGGCTCACCGATATAGTCCCAGCCCGTCCATACAAATTCTCCGGCGACGTATGGGAACTGATCCTGCGCGTCGAAAACCTTGTCCGGCGAAGCACCCCAGGGAACAGCATATAGCTCGTAAGCACTGACCTGGCGGGTTTCTGGGTCGGCACCGGTGCCATTAGCAAGAACGATGGTGCTGTTGGCTGGGGTCACTGGGAACAGGTAAGTTCCTCTAGAGCTGACAGCGGAGGAGCTCTCCGTGCTGAATATCAGCTTGTCAGGGAACTCCCCGCGGAAGTTTTCAAAGGTTGGACCACCGTTACCCTTGCCTTCGCCCTGGTAGTTCAGCCCGATAAGGTCCACAACCGAGACGAAGGGGGTCTCAGGGCCGGCGTTGTTCATGCCCACCGAGGACTGGCGTGTGGAGTCCTCTTCCCTGACAATGTCCGCGAGCCGCTGAGCCGCGGCGGCGCCTTCGGCACCCTCCTCCTGCTCGGCAATCTCGTTACCGTAGCTCCATGCCCAAATTGATGGATGATTCCGGTCACGGCGGACAAATGCGCGCAGGTCCGGCTCAGACCAGTCTTCCCACAGACTTGCGAAATCGTTCTCGGTCTTGTGGCTGGCCCAGGTGTCAAAGATCTCGTCTAGGACAACAATGCCCAAGCTGTCAGCGAGATCAAGGATCTCGGGTGCTGGTGGGTTGTGTGATGTCCTGATAGCATTGGAACCCATGTCCTGAAGTAATTGCAGTTGTCGCTCTGCTGCTACAAGATTGAAGGCAGCTCCGATCGAGCCTAAGTCATGGTGCTGGCACACGCCCTGGAGGTAGATACGCTCTCCGTTGATCCGCAACCCATCGCCGGCGTAGCTGACCGATCGGACGCCGAACCGGGTCTCGTAGGCGTCGATTTCTTGACCGTCTGCGTACAGGCGCGTGATCGCAACATGTAGGTTGGGCTCCTGCGACGGTCGAGGACCCCAGAGCTTCGGATTCTCCAAGGCAATCGAGCCATTTGTTGATTCAATACTGCCAGCTCCAACGCTGACGGTAGTTTCGGGAAATTGGCCGACCTTCTCCCCGGCCTGTCCGGTCGCTGCGTCCAAGACATGGACGTCTGTCACGACTTGGATATCTGATGCCTCGCCGGTTGTTGCGGCGTTCTCGACCTGAACGGTGAGGTCCAGGGTGGCCGATTCAGCAGAAACATCCTTCGCAGTGATGTAAGTGCCCCAGTGACCGACATGGACAGCGTTGAGCTTGGTAAGCCAAATGTTGCGATAGATGCCTGCACCAGGATACCAACGAGAGGAATCGAGTTCCTGGTCAAGGCGGATGGCAAGTTGATTCTCTCCCGACTGAACATAAGGACTGAGGTCTAGACGGAACGAAGCATATCCATAGGGCCAGCCACCAACGAGCTTTCCATTCAGCCAGACCGTCGCGTAAGACATCGCGCCGTCGACCTCCAAGTATATTGTCTTGTCCTCGTCGGCCGACGTAACGTCGATGGTGCGACGATACCAGCCAATCCCTTGAATCGGCAAACGACCCATGTTCCCGCCCACTGGCGGGTCAGAACCTTCATAGAAGGGTCCCTTAACGGCCCAGTCATGCGGGAGATTCAGGGCCTCCCACGCGCTGTCATCAAAGGAGGCTTGCGCATAGGTGACATTGCTGGGCCGTCCGGTCGGGGGCTCGGTGTGGAGTGCTGGATCTTTGATGAAGTTGTTGGCAGCCGGCAGGATCCACGGCTTCAGCTGGTCGTAACTGAGGCCGTCGGGGTTGCTCTCGAAACGCTCGAAGCGCCAATCGGCGTTGATGTTGAGGCGCTCGCGAGCAGCTTCTGCAGGCGCATCCTGTCGGCGAGTCGTGACGCTTCGCGCGTCGGCGGACGAGTGGCCGAGGACTGCAAGACCTATTAGGGCGAGCCTGAGGGCCTTGGGTGGCACGGTCAAGAAAGCCATCTGTCAGTGATAACGCTGCAGGTCGAGGCCAATGGCAGGAGGCACTGGCCAGACATTTTGCGCAACAGCCAGCCTCTCTCTGCCCTTTATAACTTACCCGACGGACCATCCGCCTCCTCCTCCTCCTCCTCCTCCTCCTCGTCCAGTGTCCTCGACCACACCTTCCCCATGATGGCGACGTGTTGGCGAGGGCATGTGCGTGCCCCCGCTTCTTGTGGAATCACGTAGTATTCTTTATTGGAGCGCTAAGTCCTCGGCGACTTGGCATCCATTGACCAAGTCCAAGATCATCATAACAGCCTGATCGCACGAGATGAGGTCAAGGTTGAATGGCACCGACCGGTCCGCAGAAGGAGTGGAGCAACGGCCCGCGCTGCCCCGAGGGAAAGTTGGGGTTGGAGACTGGGGGTTGGGGGGGGGGGGGTTCAGCTCCTTTGTCCGCACCTTCCCCACTCAAAAGCCCAGGGTCCTGCTCGCGGACGTAGGAGTCGTGCGTCCTCTGTGCAATCCGAGTTGACCAGGAGATGGCATCTAGTGGAAACTGTACGTCACCACGCTGCCTGACAAGAGTCGTCTAGGTAATTTATACGACATTGCCTCTTGGCTTTACAAGATGCCGAGCAAGGTCTGGATTCACAGACGGACAATATTTCCCCTCCGAACGATCTAGCGCAACACTGAGTACTCCGTTACTCCTCTTGAACTTGAGTGTCTTCCCGGCTCTCTTGCCGATTGAGAAATGGGCAGACAGACACAGTAATGATCCATACACAAGCAACTTGAAGGTGCTAACGGCGTTCCGTCATGTCTTACATCTACGGGCTTGTTTTTAGATGCGGCCAACCGTATTCTTCAATGCTTGCACACATTGACCGGCATTTACTTTTCAAATTTGAGGTGATTGAGCTTACGACTGTCTCCCTATCTGTGAAAAGTTGGACAACTACCAACGCAGCTCACCTGCCATCCAGGAAGAAGATACAGAATTCAGCGTACGCCAGTCACGTGCCAGCAGAAGAGTGAGCGTAAGGGGTGAAGTGCCCATCGCACAAGTCTTGGAGGAACTAGGAAGCCTATTATACCAGTTATCCGAGACATGTGGCTTGAATGAAGGTTCACTAGTTGCATATCTTGGGGAGAAATACAAGAGCCCGAGGTGCCTGTGGCAATTAGAGGTCGGTACCCTTTTCTTTTCATAGCGCAGGGGTCAATCTTCTTGACACATTGCATGTGAGCAGCGGGTTGGTCGTGCAGTCTAATATCCAAAGAAAATTCCGGACTCCCCGCAGGACGGGTGGTCTAAGCTGTAGTTTCCCGACGGCATGTCCACATGCAACCTGATCACTTGTATCGCCAGGCAGTTCATCACCAGTCAAGCTCCTTGTTTGCATGCTCTCCACAGCCACCGCCATCGCTGCCCAGCTGTTCTTTGGTCCATTTGTACACTCCCCCACGGTCCCGGAATGCCTCCTGGTCCCATTGGATGGATTTCAAAGCATTTTTGACACCTGCTTCAAGGATGCTTCTTGACTTGATGTTCTTGTTCGTTCCAGACAAGAATTGCAAGTACTCGCAGAAGCGTTAGAAATATTGGAAGGGGTAAGTCTTGGGCCGTGTGGCTCACCTCGTCCAGAATCAAGTAGCTCTCCGCCATGGCTTTGTTGGACTCTGGCACAAAGCAAGGCAAGTGCTCATGTCTTTTGCAGAAGAGCCCAAACTCTTGGTCGTTGATCTCGAAGCGCCTCACATCACGCAGGGTCTGTTCCGAGTCGTTCTCGCCCTCGACCATCAGCACCTGGAAGCACTTCCAACGGAACGGGTCCAGCTCCGCAACACGCTCCACCATGCCCTCGTCGAAGTTGTAACGGCACACGACAGTGTTGAGTTTGAACTTGATGCCGTATTCTCTGCACCAGTCCCGAATGCGAAAGAGCTGTGCCACATTGTCTCCGCTGCCTCGGCCAATTTTGACATTCGTGGCCTCGTCAAAAGAGTCGCATGATATGGCCAGTATATCCAGGTGCGCACCATATTGTTGCAGCCAAGACTTCTTGATCAAGCTGCCGTTGCTGACAATCGAAACACTCTCTAGGGCGAGCACCCGCTTGCCGAATTCAACTAGCTCGCCTAGTCCTGGATTAGATATGAAGGCTCGGACGTTGGATTCCTCTTCTAGTGATTGTAAGATTTGGGACATACCGAGGTACTTTGAGTAGAGGAACGGCTCGCCGCCCGCAAAATTGAGCTTCCTCATCCCTGCGTTCTTGAGCAGAACGAGACCACGCTTCGCCTCATCGGAGGAGGCCATGTGCGAGGTCTTGGCGGTGTGAAAGCAGAAGCCACATTCTTTGTTGCACCTCCTGGTGAAATGATAATTGACTGAGATCGGAATAGGACCTCGACTGAAACGCTGGTAAGCGAAGTGCAGGAACGTGGCCAGGAACAGAACGATGAGTGTGATCGCGGTCTTGTGATGTCGGAGCTCAGATATTTCACTGAAGCTTGACATGGTGGGCGACCGAATTCACGATGAGCACTGGAGGCGAGGGGCTTTGACATAGGACTGTCGTGTCTGGAGCCGAAACGCTCTGCGGGCATGAATGTTGATGGTACTCTGAAGCTCGCCTTTCCGTCCAAAACTGTATTCTGCTTTTTATACTTCCTGATGATTTCTGAATCATCGGTGGAACTGTTTGGGAGCAAATTGGCTGCTTCTGTGTTACACAGAAGAGCTTGATTACTCCACTTCAAGCAACATCATGGTAAAGCATGCAGCTCGCCTCCGGAGACAATCTGATTGAAGACGGGAAAACGTGCTCGTGGGAAAACTCGGATCTCCTTCCAAATCTTCGGGCACGGATGGAAGGATTCCCAAAATGAATGCATTTTTTTGAAGCGATGTCAAGCCGTGAAAAGATTAAACGAGTCCGCAAACAAAATCTAGAAGCGAGATCTCTAGACGCATGGTAAAGGTAAAATTACCTACAATCCAGAGCCTCCAGAAAGCAGACTCAGCAAAGCTGTTAACTCCAGAAGGCATTTGCTTCACCTTCTCACATTTGGCCCCGTGTAAAGTAGTCAGTTTGGCCGGTTGGCTGCATCAGAGAGTGAATAGGGTGTTGGGCGAGCCTGGGCACAGAACGGGCCGTCTTCGTTTGCCATCTGGGAACTAGTGAATGTCACACAACGCCCAAGCTTTGTGCTGTCTTCACTCGCTCGAAACCAACACAAAACAAGCTTCGATTCGGACTCTGACCGGTCGTAGCTTTTTCTACCTTGTCGACCAAGAACAACCAACCGCCAAGCTGAGACGATGATGGCAGTATTCGGCTCTGCCAGGATGGCACCGCTGAGATACCGCCGCTTGGCCGCAGGTGGCAGCACTTTCTCAATACCATCATACCGCCCGGCCGTCTCTCCAGCTGCCTCATTCTCCGTCAAGAAACAAGCGAGCCGCCTCGTCCACTCCCAGGCCCCTTGCTCCCAGCCTCGACGGTCAGTTCTGGAGGTTGAGCGCAAGTTTGCTCCCACAGCCACCTCCATCCGCCAGCTTGACCAAAACACCGGCGAGCCACCATTCGACTCTGTCGTACACAAGGGCGTCACCTGCTTCGAAGATACATACTACGACACCCTCAAGGACACCTTATCCAAAGCCGGGGTATGGATACGCCGTCGCGAGAAGCTCGAGTGCGGAGTGCGCCCCTTCACAGGTCCAAAGGGGGCGAGTCCTCCCAATGCGTCCTGGGAGGCCAAGATCCGTGTGGGCGGCGACTTCATCAATTCCGCATTCAGGGAGATCACCGACGTGCACGAGATCTCAGCCATGCTGGGCACCCTGGTCCCGGGCTCGGAGCTGGACGCAGACCGCGGACCTCAGGGCGGACAGGTGCGGGAGATGGCGAGGTTCGTCACCGACAGGACGGGATACATCGTTGATGGGAAGTTTACTGTGGTCATCGACGTGACTGATTTCGGACACACGGTGGGTGAGGTGGAGCTGGAGAGGGACGCCACCGAGGCATCGTGCGAGGGCGTGGACAAGGCGCTGGCGATTGAAGCCATGGACAAGGAGATTGATGGGTTCATGAGACGTTTCTGGTGGGCCTTCCCCGCGGGAAAGCCGGTTGGAAAGCTCACTGCATACTTCGACCGCAAGAGTGATCGACCACTGGGCGAGCAAAGCTAATTGCATGTCTCGTACACAATTTTGAGCGCAAAGACCTCACAAGAGACGGCGAACTCACACCAATGGACGCTTTTCTGATGTCTATCATTTTAGTGAGTCATCCCTAATTATCGCAAAAGTCCATGATTTCATTACGGCGGATTCAAAACCTCGTCAGACCATCAGTCATAGGGCATCCACATGGGTGCTCGGTTTAGTTGCGTCTTAGCTCAATCAACGAAGAACAAAACAGTAACAACAACAAGACAGTGTGATCGATAGCCTCCGATATACCCATGATAGGATCGATCGACTTGTGTTGATGCTTTGCAAGTGGGCTGCTCTAGACACGCAGTTGACAAAGCCCCAAATGGTTTGAGAAGACTGCAATCAGATGGCGGCCAGTTGGGTTTCGTTCGTAGAAAGTGGAACCAAGTGATGTCGTGCTGGAATATCCGATCGTGGTGATCAACGTGAGCCTTCATCTGTACCCCTCAAGACCCTCCGTACGTGTCCATCTTGTCGTGCACACGTCTGCCCTGTGAGACGTAGCCATGAAATCAGCAACATCTCCACCTAGATAGACCTCGAGGACTTCAAGTTTCACGTGTATGTATATTCTACTAATCACTGTATTCTTAGTGCGACAGGCGAGTTCATTGGGAGCAGGCATCTGGCGCCTGGGAACGGCCCTGGGACACCGGTAAATGTTTGCAAGACGCAAGTCTGTGTATTAATAAGAACTAATCCAAAATCTCGATTACGAAACACAACCGGTCACGGAAGCAAGACAACAACCCAATCCCCCTCATATCATCGCATCTTGGAGCTGTCCAGGTGCTCGTTCACCATCCCCACCCAGTGTTCCAACTCCGTCTTCATAGCCTGCAACCTCCGCGCAAGAGCGTTCAGCCCCTGAGACCTGAACTGGTTCAGCGCAGCCTCGGGCTCCCAAATCTCCCTGCGCCCATCCTTCGAATAGAACCACCCCGCAGTCAATTTGCTGACCATCGTGTGTTGCAGCCCGGATCTGGCCATCACGCACCTCAGCGACATCCCCTCCACCAGCAGGCGGAGCTGACCATGCTGCGCCATGAGATCTCCAGCGGCGAGGTGAGCTTGCGTCACTGCTGTGGAGGCCCGTCTTCTCGCATCCAGTTTCAGGTAGAGCAACTGTCTCGGCGTGCAATGGCCGGGCGAGTCTGCTCTCGTCCACGCGACTGCGGTCCTGAAATCGACATCGGCGTCTGTCAGGGCTTTGCGGACCCGGAGCTCGAGCGCGCTGCGCAACATTTGTCTAGAATCTTCCCGCAGCCGCTGCAAGGCCTGGTTGGTCTTCAAGCGCGGGGTGCCATCAAACAAGGCGAAGAGCCTCTTCAGGAGCGCGACGTCGTCAACCCTCTTCCGTGTTATCACATTACAAACGATCCGCACCACCTCGAAGAAGAAAGGTAGGATGGACCGCAACTTAATGGAACTACCCAACTCGTTGACATAGCGACCACGGATAAGTCCGGGCTCGTTGATTGGTTCTGGGGCCTGATCCGTCCTCTCAAAGAGAATCGTCCAAGCCCTCAGGCTGGGGCACTCATCCGGAAACATTGTGTGGATGAATTCATATACGAAAGTGCTTGTCTCAAATCCATCATCCTTGTCTCGTGTTCGCAGATCCTCCTGTGTCCTTGGGTCGATAATCTGAATGGCCGCGGCGCCCAAGTCTACAACGGCCAAAAATATATCCACTTCGAGACTGAAAGGGACCAAAAGCTTCTTGAGCGCGCCGCGTGGTGTGATAGTCTGCTCACGGAGCCTTCGGATTACCTGCGCATCCCGAGCTGCAACAGAGTCGCTCCACGACAGTGCTTCGATGAAGTCGTGGGGGTCCACCACACTGAACTCGGAGGTGGCGACCTGCACGACTTGAACGAGCACGCAATAAAGCTTGTAAAGCTCTTTTTGGACCGACGGTGGTGGTTGTAGATCTATAGCTCGCAACTCATTCTATGAGATGCGTCTCTCCTGTCCATTTTCGGACATTGTAGCGACCGTCATCAATGGTACCGCCGGCTTCGGCGCTTGAAGATGTCTGGATGGGCCTGGGGTACATCCACCTGAAATTTCGCTGGAGTCCCGCTTCGCCCGCAGAATCGGGGCATGGTATGGTCTGGAGGGTTCCGCTTGTGGCACATATCCACCACCCTGTGAGGGGGGTAATCGCGGTGTCGGAGGTGAACTCGGTAGCGGAGGGGGCTTTTTATCATCAGGACCCTCGTCCATGTCTGGCATGGGTGTGTCAGGGACTCTGTCGTCGGGAGTATATGGTGAGAGCTCTTCTAGGCGCTGGTTCGGCTCAGCCACCATGTCGGCATATTCCTGTGAATTGGGGTCTGGGACTCTAGCTTGGCTTTGCGTCCGTTCCATCATGGCAGATCCGGCCTGAGAACTGGGGCCGGGGACACCCCTTTGGCTCTGTGTTCTCTTCATCGCGGTTGGTGAATTGTACTTGCTCCTGTGCAAGGGCCGCCTTGGCAGCGAGGTCTTGTCGTGAACCACACCTAATCCATCAAGGGGCAGCTCCGCGGCAAAGCCCATGTTAAATCGAGCTTGCGCAAGCTGATTTCTGGCGGAAATTTTGGCTATTGCTGCTTTGGCCTTGGACAGGGACTGGGCCAGTTTTGCGGATGTCGACTCTGCGCGTTCAACGTGCTCGGCGCTCGGCGTGTCCTTGTCGTTCTCGTTGCCTGGGGAGTGAGGACGCGGTGGCACTCTCAAGCCTTGGGTAGACATCCCACGAGCCAGGGATTCGGGGCTGTTTGGGACAGCAGTTTTGAGCGCGGAGGGCCCTATACCAGAAGGTGGCGGCTCCCCTTCTCGCCATTTTCCCTTTTCTGCTGCCGTATAGCGAGTACGTGTCTCCTCCTGCTCCACCACGGCCGACCCAGAAGCCCCTGGGGCTCCGTCGGAAGCGCTCCCAGCACCATAGCTCGGTGGCTGAGGCGTATCAGTCCTGCTCAAGAAGTCGTCCACGTCGAGAACCCGTTCACCAGCACTTGTTTCCTGATCCGATGGTGGTTGAAAATTGTAGGTGGGAATGCGGCGATGTGCAAGGTTGCCAGGGCCACCCTGTGCCAAGGCCCACCTATGAAGGTGTTGGCGGTAACCACGTTCCCATGAGCTGTAGTCTTCAGCGACAGAAGGACCTTCAGGTGTTTGAGTCTCATAACGCCGACCGAACCTCCCGTAACGTTTGTGCCATCGCTGCTTCAAGTCATCATCGTCGGGTGAGAGGGGAGACGACCACCAATCCGATCTGGGCGGTCGCCATTTGACACTACCAGACTTTGGGCGCCTCTGGAACTTCTTCATTGCTGTGCAAGAGATTCCTTCCACATCAATGATGAATGCTTCATTAGTTGCTGGTGATCTGACTTCGGATAAGCATGGGCTCTAAATGGTATGCGATAATGGGGCTTCAGGCCCTGGTTGTGTTGTGCCCCTGTGGCGGATGCAAGACAAACAAAACAAGTTTTTGAGATGTTTACAGGTGGATAAGATATGTAAATTTCATCATGGGGGAGCAAAAGTGGTGTTGACTTGGCTTGTTCGCTACTGCCACAAATTTTATGCCATGTGATGGAAAGAATCATGAACACGGAAAGAAAAGAGCTGTGAGGTAATTTGGGGAGGAAGGACCACTAAACGTCAGACACAACCCTTGGCAACAGGCAGGCGCAGACAACACTGTGCTAAGTCTATCACTGATCCATCGCTGGGCCTGGAAAGGAACAAACATTGATAGGGCAGTTCAGGGAAATGGATGCACATTCTCCCTGCTGTGCAGCATTCATTTATTCAACCATGACTTTCAGGACGTAGAGTGTGCTGCAGTTCCGGTCAAGTAAAAAGGGCCATGTCACAGAGATGGGCAGTGATGTGTCAAAATAAGACCGCAAGGGCTGTCTCTCATCATCGGAGTCTAAATACAAATCCGGATGCAAACCCAAGTGTAGAACGCCAGAGGCGGTAAAGTGTATTTGAGAAACCTATGTCCAGCATTGCCTCCTTAACGCCAACCCATGCAATTTGATCTGATGATCCATTTCAAAATTCGAAGCACACAAATAAACGATTTAGAAGAAACGAAGAAGGGGCAATCCGCGCTTCTTGGAAGCGGCGACGATAGCGAGCGACGACGAAGCGCCCGGTGTGCACTTTGTGCCAGCTGCGACAGACATCGAGGCGCTCCATTCTCCTCCTGCAACACAAGTCTTGTATGAAGTGCCGTCAGCGGCACACTCTGACTCGCCCTCGGTGCAAGATCCACCGCCAGAAGAGGACGAGCCCGATCCAGAGCTGCTACCAGAGCCCGAGCTGCTGCCAGAGCCGGTGGGAGTGGCAGGGGCCGCTGCTGCGGCGCTGGTGGCGGCTGGGGCCACAGAAGTTGCAAAGCCGGAAGGCGATCCGGTTGCAGATGGGGCTGCTGCGGGTGTCGACGCCGAGCCTGAGCCAGAGCCAGATCCAGATCCAGATCCAGATCCAGATCCAGAGCTGCCGCTTCCGCTGCCGCTGTCAGAGGAGCCGCCGCTGCTTGAGCTGCCGTCGAAGGTGACACCCTTGGCGAAGCAGTTGTCTCCAGTGATGTCAGCAAGGTTCGGGTCGGAGGCGGCGAGCTTCTCGACGTTGTCGCCGGGGGCGGGGTACTGTGGCGAGGAAGACAGGACAGATTTGCAGCTGTTGATGTCGGCCAGGTTGTAGACAGCCAGGGGAGGGTAGGCGTCAAGGGCATCGGCGCGCTGGTGGATGTTCATTGCCCGCCTCTTGGAGCCAGAGCCGCCCTGGATGGTGAGCGGGGCGCAGTTCATGTAGTACTCTGGCTGGCCGCTGAGCTTGCTGGTCCATGTCCAGGCGTAAGAGTAGTCTCCGGCGGGGATGTCGGCGGGGATCTTGACGTCGTATTCACTGGGGCCGGAACCGTCCTTGGAAGGGCAACCTCCCTCGATGGACAGGATGACAGACCAGCGGGTCGAGGCAGAGGGCTGCATGTCGGTCGACAGGGCGACCTGGCAGGAGCCACCGCCGTGGACGGCAGAGCCAGTGAAGGACATCTTGACTGAGTCCCCTGCGGTGGCCGTGTTGGACAGGCCATCGGTCGAGTAGAAGGTGGCAGGGTCTCCGCTGAGCTTGCAAGGGTAGTTGCTGGCCGTGAGGGGAGAGTTGTCTATTGAGGACGCGCCGTATGGCTTGGGGTTGGCCATGATCATGTGGGCCGAGGTGGCACCGGAGAAAGCCAGCACAGCGGCGATGTTGGAAGTAGACAGCATCATGTTGTCGGTATTTGTTGGTTGGGTATCTTTGAAAGACGAAATTGACGGAACAAGACGAAGGGAGTGGACCGTGGGACTGAAAAGATGGCAGCCGAGGTCGAAGTCGAGAAAACAAACAAAAGCTCCAGGCCTTGTTGTTGAGGGAGTGTCTGTAGAGAAGAAAAAAAGGAAGAAGGACGAGGAAAAGACAAGAGTGTTGTGATGCTTGATGGTGCCAGAATCATGAGATGAGCAGGTTGAGGTGGGAGGTGACTGACCTGATATATGCGAGCGAGGGCTTCACTTCGAGGCCGCCATCTGCCCCCCTGGCCCCCAGGAGGGAGAGGGGGACAAACAACGAGGATGCTACAGTACGTACAAGGGCCATTGTCTGTCTGGGTTGTGGCCATTCAGCCATTGTGGGCATTGTCACTATTGTGGAGCCTGCTTGGAATGGCAATTGACGGGTATGGTTGTTTGTCTGTTCGTCTGATGGACTTGACTGGGCGAGAACATGGCTGACCCGACATGGGAGATTCAACGACAGCGAATCGGGCAACGTGGATCGCTGCCGTCCGCGGCGGGAAGTCAAAGAAAGCAGGGGGCGGAGAGCATAAGAGTGGGCTCTGCAGCGGTGGCATCGAAACGAAACAAAGCTTGCCCTGTTTGCCTGCGCTTGCCTGCGCGTGCCTGCGCGTGCCTGCGCGTGCCTGCGCGTGCCTGCGCGTGCCTGGTGCTGTGGGGATGGGAAAATGTGCCTTGCAGGTGTCAGGAGTAGACTCAGGAGTCAAGGAGGCTGCAAGGACCGAGCCAGTACGAGGCAGGGCCCGTGGTAAGCAGGGCCGAAAAGAGGCTCAAAGATGATCGGCGGGCGGGCAAGATGGCAGATCTTGGAGTCTAACAGTCGAAGCTCCAAGGCCAATCGAAAAGTCTCCGGTCGCCCTTGCCCCTGAGAGCTCAAACATGAGCGCCTCGGGGTGGGTCTGACATGCAGCCAATCAGCCACCAGGAGCCGACCTCACCTGCTCTTTGGTGAGACCAGGCCTTCGTCGATCCCATCTTGTCCCCCGCCCGCATTGCTGCAATCTCCCTCTTTTCAGCTGCTCTGGTCAACGTGCAAGCCAAAGCACCACCACCACCACCACCACCATGGCCACCATGACCATCACCGCCGTCGGCTCCAATACCCGGGGGGCAATATCGCTCCACCACACCTGGCAGGGCCCTACCCAAGCCTTTGGCAGCGGGGCATCCGCCGCCCTCGTCCCCACTGATATGCAGGGGAGCCGCCTTGTCCCGCCAGTCTGCCAGTCAGCTTTGCCTTGTGCTGGCGCTTCCACGCGAAGATCTTTTCTTCCCGATCTGTAATGCTGGCCCGGTGTGGAGTGCCCTTCCCTGTGTCCTGTGCCTGTGCCTGGCAGCCTGGCAGCCCAACTGAGGCAATCCATCAGTCCGTCACTTATGCATGATGATGGTGCAGCGGGCAGAATGCATTGGCCCTCGCCAGTCCTCACCCACACAGCTCTAAACACCATGTTTCACCAGCAACCAATGCCACAACCACACCGTCTTGTGCATGTGTTCCAGACTCCGGCAGTTCGTCGAGGAAAAACAACTTTCAGCCTGCACTGCTAGCTCAGGAGTCACATACGAGAACGAAAAAAGGGCCCCTTGCAGCCTGGCAAATCGTGAACACGACCCATCGCATCCGAGGCGCCCGTGTCTTCCCCGTCAGCCCCAGCAGGATATTCACGATGGGAGCCCACAGTATTGCCAGATTCGGCACTCCGTCAGCCACAGAGGCTGCCTCCTGGCATTGCCACTCCGATGGCCCCACCCCGCGGACATCCACCCGATAATAAACCTTCCCTGATCATAGCTTATATATATCAAGGGCCCTCCACAATGTTTGGACGTCTCTGTGCGCCGTGCCTCCACTTCGGATGAAGCACCCTGCGCCCGCGACCGTCGATTTATGCCCAGTGGGCTAACAACTCATGCCGCATGCGAAGCCTGCCAGCGGCCTCCCAAGCGCCACCACCAAATGGACCCGTTTTGCGCGCTCGTTAACGCCCGTCCCAGAAGATCTGCGTGCAAGGTGCGCAGGGCGACCGCCGACTCGTGCCGAATGATCTTCTTAACCCCTGAACAGAAGCCCAGCGCACAGGGACTTGGACCCTCTTTGAGCGGCTAGGTCGCTTCTCTGAAACATCCAGAACCGCATCACCGAGCCGCGCCCGCGAAACAATCTAGCCTCGTGCGCCTTCGACTTCATCTGGTCTCTTTTTTCCTCCCTGCCAGTGTCGATAGTCGGCACCGACAGACGTCTCGGCAGCATATGATAGTCTGGACTGGACCGTGTCCTGCTCGGCAAAGCATGGCCGCCCATGAGATGAACGTTGCCGAAGGGAACTATCGCAGTGATCTCGAACCCTTTGCGATATCAACTCTGTCGGTAACTCACCTCACATGCGACGAGATTGTGCATATGAGTAGCCAAGCTGCTTTCTAGAGCGGCCATGTGAACTCGGCAATTACTGGCTCATTGAGATCACAAAGTCCATTAAAAATGCTGCCATGAAGGTGACTGCCCCAGTTGCACCGCGGGCACAGGCCCGGTTGCGAGCTCTAACTGATACGTGGCAGTGCCATCCCACCTTTGTTGGCCCCCTCTGTGGCAAGAATTACCTTGTTGGCATGTGTCCGTATTGCGTACCGATCCTCTTTGTTCTGTTGTCCCTGGGATGTCCTTGCTCTAATCCTTCTACATGTCGAATGTTTTCTAGCTCATACTGCTGCCTTGGGAAGTTTGGACCACATTAGAGGATTTTCATGATAGTGATATGGAATCGCTAAATGGTGTTCTCTTACTTCATGACTTCCGGCCACGGGGCAGAACATTCGTCCCGTGCATGCCATGAGGACATAAACTTGTAGTGTCGCCCACAGTTGCAGTTTGAGCTTATTAGGACATTTCAGTTTCAGCGAGCCACTCAAGCTATATCTAGGCGTAAACCATGCGGTAGATTTGTTTTTGACTTACTGGAAATCACACAATTCTCCCATGATTGCCTTACGACCTTGGATCCTTGAGGCAGGCGATGATTTCGACGTCGGGTCTATTCCACTAAATGACAGTGAAGGCCGCCCTGCGCCTCCGTCAAGACACCACCTCGCCAGGCTACCAGTCCGGCCGGTCTAATTCCATTCCAAAACTAGACGAGCAGACTTCCTCAAGGGCTGTTATCTGCATAAGAATAGGGACCTCGCATTGTGGTTTCCCAAGCGCTACCTATGACTCCTCAGCGATGTCCAACCCAAAGCTCTTTTATTCTAGACCACAAGTTTAGTTCCAGCGAACTCCTGCACTGACGTGGCCATTGATATCCGTCTGCTTGTCCGATGTGTATCCAGGGAGGCGTTAGATGCCTTCGCGTAAAACTACATAGCCCTGTCATTGCAGACTGATATATGTGAAAGGATGAATGGAATTATGATGTCAAACCTTGTTGGCAAGTACGACCCTCGCACTTGAATGGCTACTTTAGTTATCCCCTACGGGGCACGTAGCCTCTCAGAACTTAGCCAGAACAACACCAATAAACGACTGCTTCCCCATACGATTACCGTACGTACGAGAGACCTACCAACAAACCTCATCCATGCCTCTTTGAGTAAAGGATCAGAACCTTCATTGGGCGCCCATCGAGCGGTGAATTTCCTTTCGATTTTTCGCCGTTGATTCCTACGTCGTGACTCAGTTCCGAAATTCAATTATTGCTCATTAGATCGTTGACTTCTCCAAGATCTCGCCCAATTTAGAAAACGTGATGTCCTTGCCGAGTAGTCGAGTTATTCTCAGTGACTGGCTCGCTACATACAGGCATGCCTCTCTCTGGTGGCGGGCCTATTCCGTCCTTCATGCTCATTTAGGTACACTATGGACTATTGTTGTCATGGCCTGCCTGCTACTGCTAGACTATCCTATCCTGGATCCATCATCATCCCTCCTTGCACAACCGCCAACTGACAACTGCCTGCCCTCCTCTCCGTCCGTCGCTCACTTCCTCCTCCAACAATCGACCGACACTCGGTACTCTGACAGATGATGTTGATGAGGCAACGTGCAAATCCATGGATGCAGGAAATTTTCATGAGACATCGGAAAGAGGTCCAAGTCTTTTGCTTGGACAAAGGAAACGATCATGGCTTTTGGGCTACTTAGAGTCGTGCGAAGCGATCATTGTGGTAAATTAATGTTCGGGTCGAATCAACAAGTACTCATCATCTGCCATGTGGGCATACGACTTTCAACAGAGCTCCTTATACCGCGAACAGACTTAGTGTCCTGATCCCCCGAAAAGTTTTCCGCATACACGTAATTGCATCATCACTTTCCACTGCTCGCAGCATGCATCCCCACATACACCTCTTTCTCAATATCTGCCCACAGCTTCAAGACTGGGAAGTCGGCAAACGGCAGTATCTGCGTGGCGACGATTCCCGCGACACCATTCTCCCGATCTGCCCACCACCAACAGTTAGCTAGCCCTGCCCAATGAACAGTGCTCCGGCTGCGACCCGTCGCCCCGCCACCGCTGATCATAAAGGTCAGCCCCCAACCTTGGGGAGGGTTCCCAGGAAGAGGATAAAGCTCCGGGATGGGGTTGGTCTGGTCTGGCTTCGCCGCTGGGATGGGCTGCCGGCCAAAGTCCGGGAAGTCGGGGATTTGGTTCGTGAACATCTCGGTGATGGTGGATGGCTTTAAGATCTCGGCACCGGTCTTTGGGCATCTGCCATCATTGAGGAGGACCGCTAAGATTTCTGCAACAGTGTCAGCCATTACTGGATACTGATGGGCATGAGGCACCAGTCGACGTCTCCCGCCTCTCGTGATCGCCAGCCGCATGAACTATTGGTAAAGAGACCGTGCTTACTGCAGTACTCCCGCGGCTGGGCAAACATGCCCCCTCCGCCGCTGTTGAAGCACCTCTCTGCTTCCTCCTTGCTGCTCACCGCCGCCGGCAATCGTGCGAGGTGGTCTCGTGGGCGTAGGGTTCCATCACTTTCGCGATGGTTCATGTATGCCATTTTGGACTTCATCTCCGGGGTTGGTATCATGGACATGTTCTTGATGCCGAGCGGCTCGAAGATGCTCTTCTTCATGTAGTCGTTCAGCTTCTGTCCCGTCACCCTCTCGAGGGCAATGCCAGCCCAGTCAATGCCGACCTGTCAAAAGATTAGATACTGTTTGTCATAAGACGAAGTCGCCCAGGTTCAACTTACTCCGTACTCCCAGCCCTCGCCAGGCTGAAACAGAAGCGGCGAGATCATGTCCTCGTACCGACCGCTAAACTCATCAATGCCAGCAGGAAGGCCCCAGTCCCTCAGCCTCACATTGAAGAAGGAGTAACCGAAGCCCGCCGTGTGGGTCAAGAGCATGCGCAGCGTGATCTGCTTCTTCTTCTCCTCGAACGTGCCGTCCTTCTTCAGCACCTGCAGCGTCTTGAGCTCCGGGGCACAGCCCCTCGAGCTGGTCGCCGTCGTCGAGCCTGAGAAGCCCCTTCTCGACGGCCTGCATGCAGGCGACGCCGGTGATCATCTTGGTGCAGGACGCGATCCAGTACACGCTGTCCAGCGTCATCCTCGGCGCTGGCCATCCCCCGCCGCCCGGAGGCGTGCGCGAAGAGTTCATCGCCGTCCTTGTTCACCACGACGACCGTTGCGCCGGGGATGCCCTTGCTGTGGTCGTAGCATGCCGCATCCACGGTGGAGCGGAGCGTGCTGAGGGTTTGTTCCGTGAGAGGCGCCATGGTGCTGAAAGGTCGTCGTCACTTTGAATCTACGAGGAGCTGAGCTGGCCTGGCTTGGATTGACGATGCGAACCCCGTTCTAGATGGTGTGAACTACATATGTAGACGGGCGTTTCGGTGTGAAAGACCATAACAAAGCGGGGCTGGGAATGGGAGCCGCGCCGGCAGACAACAAGTTTGAACTCTATTTATAAGTGGCCTACACCCGCGGGTTGCCAACCACCTCGGTTGCTACTTTGCATCTGCCGTGGCATCCACAGAGAGAATTGTGGCCGATCAGTCTCACTGTGCACCGGCAGTGTCACAGCCCACCATTCGCCAATGGTTACTTCTTTGCAGTGTGCCTTTGACATTCGTCTAATAAATTGTGCTTCGCCAGATTCCTCGGTGCGGGGATTGGGGGTGTTCTGTTTGGTACTGTATGCATTCGCCGGCCGCGGCTAACATCGTGCCCACTCGCCATGTTGCTCCGCTTTCCACGTCCACAGCACAGGAACGAGCCCCATCACCCCGCAGCGTCATGATGAGCTCGCATCAACCCCAGCGGTTCGGACAGATGGAACCGTGTCAGCGCGGGGAAACGACGATATGGCGGACATGCGAGCTGTCTCTATGGCATGCTACGGAGCCGCGATTCTTCTAGCTGTCCAGAGGTGGCAGGACGCGAGGGCGGCATACTCGATTCAGAGATGCCGAGATAAGTCAGCACTCGGTATTTTTGATTTGGGATTCCAGATGTGAAGACAATTGGTCTGTTCGGCTTCCGCAACGGACCCGCGCACGCGGTACAGCTAATTCGCATGGTCTGGTAGTAAGGGAGGGAGGGTGGCGAGTATCCAGTGTCCCAAGTCGCTCGAACCGTAAACATCACTGCGCTCTAGTCTAGACCCTAGGAAGTCACCCCGGATTTCATCAATGCGGGTGGCACGCGGGGAAAGTCTGGGGTCACGCACCAACAGATGTGGCAGCCGCAGGGATTCGGCTTGACATGTCGCGTCGATGGCGGCTTGGAGGTACGGATCCAGCCCACGTCTCCTCCTGATGATTGAAACGCCTTGCCGTGAATGCGGATCCGCCATCCGAGCTTAGCGTCACATGAGGAGTTCAGAAGAGGATTGGGCGCCAGCAATCGTTCACAGGCGAGATGGCACGAAGAATGATGATCTTCCCCCAAGCGAGGATCCCGCAGTAGAGGCGTGTCAAGGTGGGAGGGGAAAATGGAATCATGCTTGGGGCCATTCCAAGGTTACACGGCATGAGACACTATTCGTGGTCCAGTATATAAATTACCCGGACCCTCAAGAGACTCAGCTGTGACCGAGGTGGTCGCACAACGTCCTGTCCTGAGTGGAGCTTGCACCAGATTCCTAAGTCTGTTTCAATTCTTTCTGCTGACATCAGGTGAATATATACCCTCGTCGCCATGGGAGATCCTGCAGTCACCACTCTCCCTCAAGCGGAGAAGAAGTTCAAGACCGAGCTCACGGACTATTCTGTCCGCCGTGAGGACGGCAAATGGCCGTACGGTGACATCGATGTCGACGCACTGATCGTCGGAGCGGGATTCAGTGAGTCTCATGATTACCACCCTAAGGTTGATATAAATCGACCGAATAGATGCTGATACCTTTTTTCAAGGCGGCGTTTTTATGCTCAAAACACTCCGAGACCGCGGGCTCAAGGCCGTCATCTTCGAAGCCGGCAACGACACCGGTGGAACCTGGAGGTGGAACGTAAGCACACCCCGCAGACATGTCGATGCACCCTCAACACAAGTGTTTTTTCTTCATCATGCTGGCCCCTATCCCAGCATGACAGGGCTTGCGTTCTTTGTTCAATACAAGCAACCAGGCTTCCCAACTCCACTCAAAGAATGGCACAATGCTTTTTTCTATGTCGTTTACAAACACCTACGCAATTGACTAACTACCAACGCAGTGTTACCCTGGTGCTCGGGTCGACTCGGCTGTTCCAGAGTACGAATTCTCTTGGCCTGAGGTATACAACACATGGAACTGGTCAACCAACTATCCTGATTTCAAGGAGCTGCGAGCATACTTCGACCATGTTGACAAGGTGATCGACGTGAAAAAGGACTGCTCTTTCAACACTGTGGTGACAAGTGGCAATTTCGACACGGCAGAAGGCAAATGGATCGTGAAAACAGCAGATGGCCGGACAAGCAAAGCAAAGTTCTTCATCCTGGGGACTGGATTTGTGAGTGGCTCTCTTTCGGAAGGGTAATGAGTAGACTGCCCTGACCAAAGACTAGGCTGCAAAGCGTTATATCCCCGACTGGCCCGGCATTGACAAGTTCCAAGGAATCGTCCACCACTCTTCCTTCTGGCCCGATGATGAGATTGACGTCCGCGGCAAGCGGTGTGCCGTCATCGGCACCGGCGCTTCGGGGGTTCAGATATCTCAAGAATGGGGCCCAATCGCTGGCTCCGTGAAAGTCTTCCAGCGGACACCCAACCTGGCGATCCCCATGGGCAAGAAACCTCTCACGGTTGAAGAGCAGACGAACTCGAAGCAGTGGTATCATCGCTTCTTCGAGATGCGCGAGAGGACCTTTGGGGGGTTCCTGTACAACTTCTCTGAGAAGGGTACCTTCGAGGACTCCCCTGAGGAGCGGGAGAAGTTCTACCAGTCGCTTTTTGACCACGGAGGTTTTGTTTTCTGGCTGGCCAACTACAAAGATTACATCACGAACGCCGAAGCCAATACCGAGGCGTACAACTTCTGGGCCAAGACGGTACGAAGTAGGATCGGTGACCCGAGGAAGCGGGATCTCCTGGCGCCGCTCAAGATGCCGCACTATTTCGGCATCAAGAGGCCCTGCCTGGAGCAGAACTACTATGAGCAGTTCAACAGGGAGAGCGTGGACGTCATCGACATCTCGAAGAATGGGGTCAAGGAGTTCGATGAGACTGGGGTCACTCTCGAGGACGGGTCGCATTACGAGTTCGATGTGATCGCCATTGCTACCGGCTTCGTAAGTGGTAGTACCTCCTCACGATTACATCTTTTCACTAACTTTTGCTGCAAGGATATCACGACCGGCGGGATGACCCAGATGGGGCTAAAGTCCATTGAATCCTCCGAGCTTGAGTCAGAATGGAAAGCAGCCGCCAACACTTACCTTGGACTCACTGTATCCGGATATCCCAATATGTTCCACATGGTGAGCGTTTTTTCCATGCAGTGTTTCGACCTTTCTGCGGATGTGTATCTCCCATACCTGCGCGCTTTCCACTGCTGGCCTTGATGTCATTCGCTAGGCTGCAATGAATGGGATAGATAATGGGCAGATGACGCCCCAACCTGCCTGTTTCCATCAAAATATTTGATGCCTTGGGATTTGAGCTGACTCTCAATGATGCAGTATGGGCCTCATGGACCAACTCTGTTGTCCAATGGTCCCGCCACCGTCGAGGTCCAAGGCCGTTGGATAGCGGACGCCATCGTCAAGATTAAGCGAGAGGGCGTCAAGTACATCAACGCCACAAAGGATGCGACCAAGGCATGGAAGAATCACATCAACGAGCTGAGTGATGCGACGCTGTTCCCAACGACGCGCAGTACATATATGGGGGGCAGTGTACCAGGCAAAGCCTTCGAGCAGGTCAATTACGCTGGCGGAATCCCGGCGTATAGGGTTGAGATCCGGGAGGCTCTCCCGGATTGGAAGGGCTTTGAGGTGGTCAAGGAGGATGGCGCAACAACAAATGGGACGACGAAAGTGTAGTTGGGGCCTTCGTGGCTGATCATCCAGTGTTTGTTGATGGCAATGCCAGAATTGCTAAGTTTGAGCTTAGTTTGGGTAGATCAATATCGATTGTCGTAATTCTGCTCGACTTGCGTCACTCTCTCGGCGGTCGAATGGGCTTCTATCACACAAAAGCGAAGAGGCAACTGTGGCAGCTCATGACACGACCAAACGGGTAGTGCCAGATGCGATGTCACCCTTGGTCGCTCTTTTCATGAGATGGTCGATTCAGTTTGTCGAATTTTGTGCTCTATAGTGGTCTCTCAATCTCCGATCTATTGTTATACACCGTGACGTCCGATCCTGTGACTTCGACCTAGGATGCACTTAATGCACGCCGATACGTCGTCCCGTCTCATCAGCCCTTTCTTTACTCCTCGCTGTCACTGAACTCAGCAATACCAGCCTTGGAGTTCAGGTAGTGGTTCCTGTCGCGAAGTCGTCAGCATCGCAAGATCAGTAGCGCAGCGCTTCCTCCCGCCTCTTCCTGATCCAAGACTCACCTCTCAACAGCCCAATTCATGATGTAGTAAGCGGCGACGAATGGAGGGACGACGTAGAGGATCTGAGCGCTGGCTCGTCGCCACGTGTTGAAGATAGCTGCGTGGGCTGCGCCGGCGAAGGGGTTCTGTCGGTTGGGAGCGAGGCCGTAAGTAACAATGCCCTTCTGGGCCTGAGCCGCGGTGCCTGTGTCACGGATGATCCTGTCAGTACGCCGGTCGTGATATCGATTGTTCCGAGATGTGATCCGAAGAGCGTCTCGCCGCCCGGTGCTTCCTTCCGCGCTGTGATTTGCGCGCGTTGCACGCTGGCCCGTCGTCGAGATTCTGCGCCCCGTGGGTTTTGCTACTCACCAAGTTGTCCCCAGCCACCGATGTACCTGTAAAGAAGCGATTAGCACAGCCCTAGAAGATCCGCTGTAGTCTTCTGAACGAGGTGGGCGCGAGCTTCCGAGGCCACCGCAAGAAAAGCCGCGCCTCCCATGTCGACACGATGACATGTTGCCAACTCACTTGTTGTACATGCCAAGAGGGGCATCACCGCCGCCGCTGCGAAGGATTTGAGTAGGTCTCATCGTGTAGTCTGTTTCAATTGACGTGGGAGATGTTCAATCGAGGGTTCGCGAGTGTGTTGTCGTGAAGAGCCAGACTCAAGTCCTGACGATGATGATTTGATCCCGACGTCGTTGGAAATCGGAACCAAGCCATTGGACCTGGCGGGACTAGTCCTCAAACGGCTTAGCGGAAGCAGAACGTCGCTACGTACCGACAAAGTTCCCACTTCCTTCCATGGAGCACGGGCCACTCCAGAGCTTCAAGCTCTCATCGATTTGCAGTGGAGCAAGGCATCGGCGGGCAGCATCACCTCAGTTCACCTTTCCAGGCGAGCCGAGACCACCCACACGAGAACGGCAGCAAGAGTCGATCTCGCCCACACAGCCAGCCCACCATGGCACAATTCAACGCCAACGCGCTCCGGAATATCTACCGGCTAGCCATCCCCGCGGCCGTCGGCGTCAGTCTGGCCAGCCAGTCCATATACGATGTCCGAGGCGGCTCGCGCGCCGTCATCTTCGACCGACTGTCGGGAGTGAGGGAAGGGGTCATCAGCGAGGGCACACACTTCCTCGTGCCCTGGCTGCAGAAGAGCATCATCTTCGACGTGCGCACCAAACCCCGCATGATCGCCACCACGACCGGTTCCAAGGACTTGCAGATGGTCAGCTTGACCTTGAGGGTGCTGCACAGGCCTGAGGTGCAGGCCCTGCCCAAGATCTACCAGGTATGGCCCGGCCTCTGCTCCTCCCCGTGTGTGGCAAGAAACCAATAGCTGACTGTCTTGTCTTGCCAGAACCTCGGCCAAGACTACGACGAGCGAGTGCTCCCCTCGATCGGAAACGAAGTCCTCAAGTCCATCGTGGCCCAGTTCGACGCCGCCGAGCTCATCACGCAGCGCGAGGCCGTCTCGCAGCGCATCCGCACCGACCTGATGAAGCGCGCCGCCGAGTTCAACATCGCCCTCGAGGACGTCTCCATCACGCACATGACCTTCGGCAAGGAGTTCACAAAGGCCGTCGAGCAGAAGCAGATCGCGCAGCAGGACGCCGAGCGGGCGCGCTTCATTGTCGAGAAGGCAGAGCAGGAGCGGCAGGCCAACGTCATCCGCGCAGAGGGCGAGGCCGAGAGCGCCGACGCCATCGCCAAGGCCATCGCAAAGGTCGGCGACGGCCTCATCCAGATCCGGAAGATCGAGGCCAGCAGGGAGATCGCGCAGACGCTGGCGAGCAACCCCAACGTGGCGTACCTTCCGGGAGGGAAGCAGGGTACCAACATCCTGCTGAATGCCGGGCGGGCGTGAGTGTGATGTGGTGCGGGGCAGGGGATGAAGGGCAGGGTGAGAGACCCTTTGACGGAGGATGGATCGGCCTCCCAACAAAGAGTCCATCTATTTAGAGGCTGCTTAAAATGCAGTTCATGTACTATCTCCACTAGAGACGAGATCCATGAGATCTTGTCCTCTCCACTTTGATGATGAAGTAATGCCAAAACCATTGAAGGTGACGCCGTATGTGCCAGCCCACTTGCCAGATCTTCCTCGAACTTCACCATCCATACGCATACATGCCGCGTTAATTCACATGTCACTTACATCTACTGTTCCTCGAGAGATGTGTAATTTGGGTCGCCCCAAACCTGTATTTATGAAGTGAAACCCTGAAACGCCAGAACCCAGCCCCATCAGGTGTTACTCTTGGGGCCTATGGAGCCTCTAAAAACTCCTCGCTGAGACGGGCACCGCCTTCCTCTGAATCCTCGCTGATGCGCCCTTCCTGTTGTAGAGCTTCCCAACCCGGTTCCCGTAGGATGCCGTCCACTACCTTCCAACCGTGTGACTGCATTAAAGACCACTCCTTCTGGACTTTGAGCCTGGCCAGTTCCCCCGCAGCCCTGGCATCTTCTGCGCTGTCATGTCCTTCTGCTCCTTGCATCTGGATGCGCCGGTTCAGGTGAAGCTCCATGAGTGCCTTGAGGCCGTTTCGAATTGGGAGGCCTCTCTTGTGTGGGTAAACCAGGATCGTGTCGACGAGTTTGGGGTGAACCATGCGCATGGCATTCAGATCGTTTTCAAGGCCGTGGCCGATGAGTATAGTACTGGGGCTGATGAGAGAGAAAAAGAGCTCCCGGGCGACCTCAGGCGAAGAGACCTTCTGCAGTATCTTCCTCTCGCCAGGTTGCTGCGCGGGAGGCTTCCAATCCCTTGACCAGGATATGGCTCGTGCCAGATCTTCGGGGAAGACACCGCTGTATTGCGAGTTGAGGTCCAGAATCTCGCCAAAAGGCTGCACAAGCACATCCAGTAGTTCTGCGCCATCCGGCCACGAGGTTACCGTCAGCCTGATTAGCTCCATGCCATACACCGTGTAGCCCATCTCACAGTCGAAGCACACGGCCTTTGCTGCATCGGTATTCGCATTCTGAGGAGTCGCTGCGTAATTCCATAGCGCGGCAAGCCGCTTCGGGTCGCTGGTTTTCCATACGTGGTTGCTTCCCTTGGCGCATCCAGGTGATTCCCCGACGTCCTGTTGGCAGCACCGGTACCGCTTTGGGATGTGGGTAAAGTCTCCCTTGGGGCGGTCAGGTAGGTATTGCCTTCCTGAATGATACGTGCACTGTCCGCCGGATGCAAGCTCCCCAGTCTCAATGTTGCGGCCTGGGAATACTTGGAATCGCACAGTGCATCTGTCGCATTTCTCCCAGTTCTGAGACATCTGGACGGCCGCCTTCGCCTCGGCGATTTGATCGTCGGTGGGTGGGATCGGGACGTAGCCATATGGCGCGAGGCCTGCGATGGGCGTGACCAGTCTTCTCTTCAGCACCTCGACCTCTTGCTCGGCGCTCAAGCCGGTCATGGTGACAACAGGAGGGCCATTGGCTGGTGGCTTCTCTGTTGGCCTCTTTTCTGTTGCTTCCTTGCGCTGCTTGACCCAGTCGTCCACCGACATCCGCTTGTGCCTTACCACATCCTGCTTGATGATGTTGCCATAGATAGACGACTTGTGAATTGCAATGTGCTGCTCACGGTCGAGGGCCATCCATACAAGTTCCTGACCCGACAGGACCAGGTCCTTGATCTCGGGGTGCTTTGCGCTCAATTTACTGACTCCTTCGTTGAGACGAACGAACTGTTGGTGAAGGAGTTTGAGCAATTGCAGCCTGATGTTATGGGCGGCTGGGGCTTTCTGGAGGTGACGGGGGTTGAGGGTCTCTGGCTTCCTGGCCGGCTTGGTCATAGTCTGGGGGCCAAGTGAGGGTGGCTTGGCCTGGCCGTCTTTGGGTGCGGGCGAGCCCGATGCTAGTGACTCGGGCTTTGCAGGCGACGAATTGGCCCTCGAGGGCTCAGAGACTTTGGTTGTTGGTGTTGGCGTCGACTGCCCAGCGATTGAAGTCGGCTTTTTCTGTGAGGCAGACGAGGTAGAAATAGTTGAGCCAAGTCTCGACAGCGGTGATTCACTAGCCTTTGTCGGTTGCGTTGATTGGTGCTTCAATAGTGACGGCGACGGCGGGGACAATGGATCGTATTGCTGAGGTGTTTTCATCTCATCATTGACCGTGGCTTGTTGGCTCTGAGACCAAGACGATTGAGGGCTGGAACGTGTGGTGTGGCCCTTTTTCACCTGTAGCACGTCAACGCCAGGACGGTTGACCACTGGGTTGTCGACATCCGGATTGTGCCCAGTTGAGCTGCCGTCCTGGGGAGCATCGGCAGATGGATTGCTGGCCGCCGAGCTGCGTGGTTGGGTGTCGCCAGTACTTTGGCTGTTTGACTGCGAGCGGTTTGCATCTGGTTTGTGAGCGCCCTCCACCCTCTGACGCTTCGTAACACGCTCATCTGCCGCGCCATCAAGAGATGAAGCTCTGTGGCCAAAGAGGCATCCAGGAGTGGTGCACTCAGCCCTTCCTGCCTCCTTAGGGCAAGGAAGGTGCTTGAGGCCATTGAAGACGGGCACTCCGCTAGTAGGGGCGGAGGACATGTCTTTGGATTCAGTGCTGGGTGGACAAGGTAGTCACGGAGGAGAGGAAGCAGTTCCGGTCATCCAGCGTCCAACAAGTCGCTGCCGCGTCCCCTGGGTCCCGGGCAACATGCAGAGTGGCCGCAGAGACTGAAGCCTCCGCAATGGGAGAAGCATTTGGGAGCGAAAATGGCTTGAAACCCCAGAGATGAGCACGGAGGAGAGCTTTCCAAAGACTGTCTTGTCTTCTCGGTGCCTAAGTCAGGTAGGCAGATAAACAGTCCAGGAGCGAAGATATGTGTGAGGCTCAGCCCGGCCCAGAAAGATGACTGCAGTGGATCTGCTGTGCAGCAGTTACGGCACTACGGCAGGGTGCACAAGCACGAGTGGACATGCAGCAAGCGGGGCCCTACTCACCGTGCTAGGCTGGCTGGCAGGGTCGGTCTCGAATCGCTTAAATGCACACATACGCTGTCTACTTCAAGTACCTGGTAGCACCTCTGTGCAGCTTGGACTCTCGATCTCATGAGCCTCTCCTGGTTGACATTGTAGCTTGCATTATTCATGCGCTGCCATCTCTAGTAATCGCTTTAAAAGAGCAAATATGACGAGTCCTCACAGGATCAACTAGCAGCGTGTCGAATCACGGAGCTGGCTGAACTGAGAAGACATTGTAGCGCTGTCATCAGAAGACCCGGGTAGCCAGGCTGTCCAGTCTATTACGGGCTGTCAGATGCTATGAATAGCTGGCTTACAGCAGAGACCGGAGGAAACATCAAGAACAAAGTGGTGTCTGCTGCCCGCATGCTTGCCCTGTCCTCAAGCCTCGAGGTACTTGAGTTGACATCTGCCTTCGTGTTTCACCTCCCACACCCCGACGTCTGTCTACCAAAGGTGCAGCCAGTCGCCGTCGAGAGTGTCGAGACGAGGTCAAAGAGAAACCGAGGCATCAGCAGCCACGTCCGCATGCGTGCGACCATCCGGCTGCCCCCGTTCTTTCAGCATACGTGGTCTCGGGTTGAGCATGGCAGCATGGATACTGCCCTGGCCGAGCTGGGACAAAGGCCCGCAGTAACTGGGCATGCTACTGGCTCAGGCAAGGCTCCAAGCCATCTTTATCAGCGGCCCGCGATGGCTGAGGTCGGGAAATGCTAATATTGTCAGCAAGGAGCAGTTGCGCATGCCCGTGGAAGCCTCAATGGGATCACAGTCAAGTAGTAGAGAAGGCAGAGCCCGGAGCATTTGAACTCAATGCTGCAAGCAGGCGGCTTTAGCGGTGTTTGGCGAGACCCGGAGATTCGCAATCCAGGGACCCGCCTGAAATCGAAACCACCGCGCATCATTATAACATGTCATAGACTCGACGCTGGCCTTTTTTTGTCTGGTCCCTTGACCCTTTGCCTGAGCCATCACGATCACGACCACGACCACGCCCACTTCGCTCGACAGCAACAGGGAAACTACGACTCCATGGCCGACCTTTCAGAGTACACTGGCGGCACAGTCGAGGCCGACCATCTTTGCGTCCTTGTGCATGGGGTAAGCCTAGATCTGTCCCTCCCCTTTTCTAGCTCTCCAACTCGCCTCGCACATCCTACGTCATGCCGCTTCCTACTGCAACCTTTGCATCCTTGCCCACCAGCTAGCCACCAACACCGCGAGTGCTGACACGGCCCGACTACCAACAGCTATGGGGCAACCCGAACCACATGAGGAATGTCGCGAAGGCCCTGCGAGCCAAGCACCCAGCCGACAGGGTCTACATCCTCTGCGCCAAGCGCAACAGCGGCTCATTCACCTACGACGGCATCGAGCTCGGAGGCGAACGAGTATGTCTTGAGATCGAGGAGGAGCTTCGCGCGATCGAGCAGCGCGGCGGCAAGATCGCGAAGCTGAGCGTCGTGGGCTACAGCCTCGGAGGTCTCGTCGCACGCTATGCCATCGGCCTGCTGTACGCAAAAGGGGTGTTGGACGGGCTGGAGTGCAAGAACTTCACCGCCTTTGCTAGCCCCTTTATTGGGGTGCGCACACCGTTGCAAGGTTGGGCCAACAACGTGTGGAACACCCTGGGCGCGAGAACACTTTCCATGTCAGGACGACAGCTGTTTGGGATCGACAAGTTCCGCGACACCGGCCGGCCGTTGCTCGCGGTGCTGGCTGACACCAATTCCATCTTCATCAAGGGCCTCGCCAAGTTCCAACAACGGACTCTCTATTCGAACATTCAAAACGATCGAAGCGCGGTTCATTATACAACATACATAACGAAGACCGACCCATACACCGACCTCACGAAGGTGCGAGTAAACTACGTCGAGGGCTACGAAGATGTCATCCTCGATCCAGTACACCCCGTCGAGCATATACCACCACATAGCTGGAAGAAGGACACCTTCTCGGAAAAGGTCAACAAGAACCTATACCGCATCCCCTTCGTGGTGGCTCTGGCCGTCTTCGTCCCGATTGGCATCGTAGCCTTTCTCGTAAACGGCGCGATCCAGACCGTCCGGAGCTCGAAGCGCATCGCACTGCACGAGAACGGCGAGGCCGGCATCGACTACTCCGAATACCGCGTCCCACTGCTCCTCAACGAGATCCGCGGCGTCGTCGAAGACGCATACGAAGGGCTCAACAGCTCCCAGCACCAAGATTACCTCGGGTCTTCCTCCGACGACGACTCGAGCGACTCCTCCGAGCCCGAGGCCACCGCCACCGCTCCTCTGATCAGCAAGTCCAGCCCGGCCGCGGGCGTCGACAAGGCCAGGGCCAGACGCGCCAGCGAGCGGAACATTCTTCGCCATGAGCGCAAGCAGAGCCAGCCTGGGCAGCCGACGCTGGCGCTGGCACCGGCCCAGTTCGAGATGATCACCCTGGACAGCGTCGGCTGGCGCAAGTATCCTGTGTATATCCACAAGAATCGCCACAGCCACGCGGCAATCATCTTGCGCTTGGACAAAGAGTCACATAGCGAGGGCCACATTGTACTGAGGCACTGGCTGAACGAGGAGTTCCTGGTCTGACCGCACGCGGTGAAGCAAGTGCTCTCTGGTCTGGACCATGTGAGGCAGAATTTCTTCTCATTACTGGATTACTAATTATTAGACGGACCTCCTCTAGACTGAACATGCGGAAACACTCCTCGAGTTGTAAGATCTCCGAAGTTAAGATGTTCATATACCCTCACATAGGCGCGGAGTGCGGCGTTTATTTTAGATGCGTTGTTTATAGACATAGTACATATATTGTAAATAGTAGAACCTTCTGGATTTGTTTCGTAGGCAGCCCTGATTCAACCTCCTCCCCCTTCACACATTAAGTTCATCTACGAGAGACAACCCCCGGAGGCATATTCCGGCAGCAGATCCTGCTTTGGCCCGTCCCGAGAACATGGTTGGTTTCACGGCTCGAACCCAGGCTCGAACCTAGACTCGAACCGTGCCTGGAGACTGCTGGAAGACGAGTCAACTCGAAAAGCTTACTGACGGGCAGGCTGCATGTCCAGATTAACCTGCGGGCGGCAACCTCGGAAGGCACATTTACACTGCACGCTCAGACGATTGAGCCTCACGGCCACGGCCCCCTCCAGGCCACTGCTGTGCTCGAGAGCAGTAGTCGTACGTGCTCCCGGCTGCTATATCAGGCAAGCAGTGCGTCCTCGCCCCGATCATGCATGCACGTCTCTTTCTGCGAATTTTAGGCTCGAGCAGATTTTCACTGCATCGTCCACGGAACATGCGTCCGCGGTCAAAAAGGCCGCCGGCCCAGAAACCTTCAGAGATGGAAGTCGCAGCCGCACTACAATGGCCGAAGGGTTCGTGGGCGCTGACTCGCGGCGGCGCGTGGCGATGACATCGCACTCGGGTGACGCGTGCATGCATGCACACATGCATGCGCTTTAAAACTGACGGGCGGGCCGCGCAGAAACCCGTTGGGGCGGGTGTTGGCGTCTGGGCCGGATGCGAGGAAGAAGGGGTCGACAAACAGGAAGGAAGGAAAAAAAAAAGGGGCCGGTCCGGGAACATGCCCGCTGTCTCACTCGTTGGATCTTGCCGTTTTGTTCGTCATCATGTTTGCCCATTCGGGATTTGATCGCCAAGGAAAATTCTGCTGAAACCAGGCGAGCATCATGTCACCAACAGGTATTTTGTTGGTGACTCCAAGAGCTGGGGGAAGCCGGTGGCCGAGGGTCGATGGGAAACCTCACACGGCGATGACGTTTGCCGGGGCCATTGTTGGCCGTCAGCCAAGCTGGGGCTGTTTTGGGGGGTGGGCGCCTGGGCCCGCGGCGCAGCGGGCTGGGGGAAGGCAAGCAAGTTCGGGCTCCATGACTCGCTTCGCACTCGCCTCCCGGGTTTCCGCCGAGTGACGAGGTCCGGTGCGGCAGTGATACGATGTCGGAGATAGTAGGAAGGTGGTGGCCGGGCGTTGCGGGATTGTCGCGGCCTCGGGTCAGTTCACTTGGTCAGTCACGCCAGGAAACGGGAAAGGTATGTTTGTGAGATAAGTCCTTTGCTCGAAAGTCTGTCAAAAGGTTCGTAAATGCCACTCGAGTTGCTGCTATGTACAAGTAGTAGTTGGCCGAAGATACAAGCTTCGCCTTTAAACCGAACCCAAAATAAGATCAAAAGCCGGAGGGAGCCCCCAGGTCAGCTCCGAAACACCCAAAAAGGGGGAAGGGGGCCGAGGGCCAGTCCGCCCGGTAGGAAGCCCATCGATCGCCGAGGCCGCTGAACATCATGAAAACAGTGTGTGGATGGGATGACGACCTTCCTTGACGCCATGCGTGGATAGTGTGACTGGTGCGATGTGCTGCAAATTGATTTGGTACAAAGGATGTAGGGGATTCCACCCCATCCGGATGATGTGGTGCATATTAATCCTCAACTCGTCATTGAGAGGTCGGCAGTGAGTTGTCTGGTATGGTTCGCTTCGCTCACGTAAGATTGATAGGGGATGCCAACAAAAAAGGCGGCGAACGTAAGTACAATTACGATGCGAGTCGAGTTCGACAGTTGCTCGTGTGAGTGCCGCGAGGAAGGCTGTCGTGTGCATCGGCGGAGGTGACGCAGATGGAGGCTGACGGTGGCAGACGGGTTCACGTCTGCTGTCGGACTCGGTCTGCAGATGCACGTGCCGTGCGGGAGGCGACATGTCGCTGGGAGGCGTCTATATCCTGACGACTTGTGTGCGCTCCTTGTTCAGCTGTGCTGCGTTCTGCTCGTGTGCCTCCTTCTTGCACTGCAGTCGTTGGGAATCATGTTAGTCACCGGTGTCATTCAAGATTCTTCGAAATCGCCGTTGCACAGAACCTCGCCAAGACCAACAAGCCACCATTGGACATTTTCAAGGGAGACCGGGTGTGTACTCACGTCCTCGAGACCCTCGCACTTGTGGTCCTCCAACAGGCGGTGCTTGCCGCAGAAGTGGCCATCGCAGAAGCCACAGTCACCCACGATCCTCTGTGCAGGCTCCTTGCAGGCGGCGGCGGTACATCTGAGCTTCTTGGGAGCCATGTTGATGTCTCGGGATGTCGACCGATGGATTTGATGCAGGTGGTGGTGGTGGTGGCGGTGGTGGTGAGATGAGATGCTGAGCAGGTTGATGCTGGGAGAGCGAGACTCGTGAGGTCGTCGAGTGTGAAGATGCGAGATGCAGGTCGAGGTCGAGGTCGAGGTCGTTAAAGAGATGGGCAGCTTGACGGGGGCGATGGTGTTAGTCACAAGGAGGACGGATGATAAATAGGAAATGGTATCGGGATTAGGAATAGGCAAGGGAGGAGGAAATTGGCAATGTTATGTACTCACATGATGGCAGGTCTGGGTGGTGGAAAGGAAGATGCTGGAAAAGGCGGCCGGGGAATCCAGGGGCGAACCAGGGATTATATAAGTGAGCAGGCGGGCGAGGCTGACTTGATTCAGGTCTGGGACTTCGCTTTGACGCCTGGCGGTTGTGTTGGTAGACCAGCGTGGTATTGTGTTAATAAACCGAGAAGAGCAGAGTTGACTTCTGGAATTGTGCAATGCCCCGTGTGTCACGGAAGCGAGGTGGGCGGCTGGGCCAACGTTGCGAGATGGGGTGCGTCGATGACGAGGCACAAGGCAAGAAGGCAGCCAACTGATGATGACAGATGGTGAGGCTCCGCTTTCGGGGTAGTCGGACACGATGAGGTCAGCAGCGAGGTGGAAACCGGGCTGTATGCGCTATATGGACCGACGGGGAAGAAGGAGACGAGGAAGACAAGGACGGCGATAAAACACGAGACCTTGGCAGCAACAGGCACGACAACAGCACCAGCACCAGCAACAGCGAGACAAGTCAGCAAGGGAGGGAGAGATAAGAGACGAGAAGGAAGGGATCGTGAGAACGAGTCCGTCTTCCTTTAATACTTAACCGAGCCGAGCCTTCAAGCAGTGGCCGACAGATCAGATCGGACGGGTCCCAGCTGACGAGAGATACTTGGAGCCTGCAGGCGAGGACGAAGGCGACGAGGGCGCAGGCCCAACCCAATCCAACCCAACCCGTGTGGCTATCGTTCCGTGCCACGCAACGCAGCGCAACTGCATGCAGTGTTCCTTCGGGATCTGGCCTCTCCTAAGCAGCTAAAGGTAGTCCCAGTCCCAGTCCCAGTCCCAGTCCCCAGTCCAGTTTTCCCAGCCTTCCCACCGTCAGGGTGCAAGGTCAAGGTCAGGGTCCAGCAGCGGCAGACAGACGGACAGACAGACAGACAAACCTTGGAACATCTGGGATGCCGGAAACAGGGGGTGGGAGGGCGCCCGGAACGGCTATCAGCACACCCTCACTGGACTGGACTGAACGGCTGACAGCACACGCCCCAACCCTGCATGCAATGTACCGAAGTACCTAGGTATTCATTCAAAGTCCCCGACGCCCAGGACCCAGCCAGGCCCATAGCCTCTCGGATGGCCACTGCACGGTCACGGCAACCATGTCCATGGGCCATGTCCATGACCATGTCGGCCCATGTGGGCTTTGCCGCATCTCTAACAGAAATGCCATCATCAATGCGCCCTTGCGAGTAGGATCAGAGGCTCAGCAGACTTGTGCACATTGGCTCGGAAACTTCCGCATATAGCTGCAAATTGGCACGGTCAGGGCCGGGGCCAGCACAGCACAGCACAGCGCAGCACAGCGCAGCACAGCGCAGCACAGCGCAGGTGTTGTTGAAAAGCAGGACAGGACAGGACACGATCAGCCTTCCACTAGCACCGCGGTCGGCGCTTGAGTCGACGGCAGAGCATCCCCAGTCAACTGACTCCCTCCTATTAACCCATGGGTTGAACAACGTGGCGTGTTGGGAGCCACTTGGGACGATTTTCAGTCTTGCACCAAGGCTGCCTGCCCTGCAGCTTCTTCATGGTTGGTCGGTGGACGATGGTGACACCCGGGTCGCCAGGCTGGCATTTCGTCCCGCGAAAACAACAGCGCTGCTCGTTATCAAGTGGAGTGGCTGGGCCATTTGCTGGCTGCCGGTGATCGTTGGCGGTATGGCGGCCATGTTGGTCGATACCTTGTCCCCTTCTCTGAATGCTCCTATTGACCACCTGCTACCTGCTGTGCCATGTACCTAGATTTATATCCCTGGGCATCCTCACCGTGCTGACCTTGCACGCTCACCTGGCCTTCTCGTGCCGGGTTGTTCGACAGCGGGGCGCACACTTTCATCTTCTGGGACTACTGTGTCGTATGGACACGAGCGCCCATGTGCGTGCACGCAAAGCATGAGACGCCATGCCCGATCTCCTAGCGTCGTGCTTGGTTCTACAGGGGACGACGATCTCCCAACTGGGGCTGTCACGCCGGCAGCAATGATGGATATCGTTATTGCGGATGTTCATCGGCATTTCCTTCCAAGATGGATGCATCCCCTGACTAATAAGAGGCCCGCAAGAGGACGTCCTGCCGTGCCCTCCCTCCCTTCATCCCAACAGCCCGCCGAAAAGGCACAGCGGGCGTCCCCGTCCCCAGACAAAGGTCCAGTTTCACCAGCCCACACGGCCACCAGCCCAGCGCCTCGCTTCCCGTTCCCAGGGGACAAAGGCCACCTGCCGCCCTACCTTCAACAACCGGCGGTTTCGGTTTCCGCAGAACGGCGCACGCCTAATTCAGTCGAGACCAACTGTGATTTTGTCTTCTCCTGTACCCCTTTGTCGTGGAGAAACGAGGACTCGTGTTTTTTCCTCCCCCGGAATAGATGGCGAAACCTGCGGCTCCGGCGCTTTGATAGACTCGCGCCCCCTCCCCTTTCATTGCCGCCGGGTGAGAAGGCCACCCTGCAGCGGCAGAGGTGGCACAGCGGGTGGATACGCCTTTCGCTAAAATCGTGGAGAACTCCTGCAGCGCAACCTGGAGCCGAGGGGCCCCCGTCCAACTGAACAAGGGCAAACCGCCGCTCGGTCATCAAGTCACACGTCCAAACTCCCGACTTGTCCACTGGTAATGATGACACGAATCACACGGCGACACGATCCCACAGTTCTGCTGAAGGGGCTGTCTGCCCATCTGTCTGGCTGGCATCCTCTCTCTTTGAGATTGCTGGTGCTCGCATGGATTGACCTTGGATGACACATCAGGATAAAAAAAGAAGAGAAAAAAGGCCACCATCAATTAACTGTCTGGACCAGGACCGAGCCGTGGCAGCTCCCACCTTCCGAGGTGCCGGTAGCCGGGCGAAGCGCTGGGCCGAATGTCGACCCGGCCGAGGAGGTCCCACCGCTGTCGTCCTGCACTCAAAGGCAGATAAGAAACCGGCCGCCCCCAGCTGCGACCATGTGACCTCCTTTTTAGCCACCGGCTTTGTCCCATCTGGATGCAGCGCGCCCCGGCCGACCGAGGCTGGCTAAGCCCGTCGGATGACACAGCAACCGCCTGCGTTGATAACAAGGGCCTAGCAAACTGTCACAGCGCGCACCCCGTACGGAGATAACCGCATTCGCGATGCCTGTCTACCAACGCAGCAACAAAGGAATCAGGCTGCGGTGGATTGTGCTCGCGTTGCTTGGTCCTTCGGCCTCTCCATGTTGTATGTCATGTCAGTTCACGGGGCAAAACAGCATTGCTAGATGTGTTGTCCACGGTGCAGGAAGCCGGCTTTGTTGGGGGCATCGGCGTACGGACGATTTCCGGAGCTGCCGGTCTACCGGGAAATCGCTGTTCATTGCCACGCATCGACTCACCTCTGCACCTTGATGAGATCTACATCTTGAAACTTTGCGCGACGGACTGATCTGCCGCCGGTAGAATGTGCCGAGGGCTGCATGCATCGACAACACCTCGTGTCGGGGCGAATTACGCGCCGCCATTGAACTCGGACAAATTAGCATCTGAGGGCCTTGATGGCCTACCGACACAGTCGAGAAGCACGTATATAAGTCCTAGGAGAGCGACTCCGCTCCGTCCAGATGCGGCATTCGCACCATTTCACTCAATGAAGTCGGAGCCTTCATCTCGTTGTTGCCATATTTTGTCTCGATGACTTCAATAATGTGTACAAATTTGCCAACTTAGGCTCACCCCGGGTGCCCCAGGCTCCCGACCATTTTCCACTGCCAACCTCCATTTTTTAGGACCAGACCATTCACCTCCCTATGAACTCCCCAGTAGCCAGCCCCCTGCCCCCCCCCCTGTCCATCACGTTTTCAGGCCCAACCAAGACTTTTTCCAAGTACCATTTCATAGGGAAGCCCTGATCCGGCCTTGATGAAGCAAACGCAATAAGCCACCGAACTTGTCAAACACTCAACAGCATACAAAGAACGTGGGGGGCGGTCGAAGCCCCTCGCAATACGTGTCTTGAAAGCCACAAAAAGAACATCAAGTAGGAAACTCTGGGATAAGGACTACTTACCCCGCATGTCCACCACAGCACGGATGCATTCGCCGCTCTTCATAACCTGGAAGGAGGTGTTGATGTCGTCGAGCTTCTGCCGGTGGGTGATGAACTCGTCGACCTTGAGCCGCCCGTCCAGGTAGTCCTGCACAAGGCCAGGCAGCTGCGAGCGGCCCTTGACGCCGCCGAAGGCGCAGCCGCGCCAGACGCGACCGGTCACGAGTTGGAACGCTGTAAGCGGGTCAGTCTGTTGTTCTGGCTGGGATCGTGGAGGTTGGGAGCAGAGGAGGTTGGGGGGGGGGGGGGAGTTCTCACGTCGGGTCTGTATCTCCTGCCCGGCCGCCGCGACGCCAATGACGATGGACTGGCCCCAGCCCTTGTGGCACGCCTCCAGGGCGGTGCGCATGACGCCGACGTTGCCCGTGCAGTCGAAGGTGTAGTCGCACCCGCCGTCGGTCATCTCGATCAGCTTGTCGACGACACTGGTGCCCTCGGGCAGCTTGGACGGGTTGAGGAAGTCGGTCGCGCCGAACTTCCTGCTCCACTCCTCCTTGTCCGGGTTGAGGTCGACGACGATGATCTTGCCGGCCTTCTGCGCGACCGCGCCCTGGACCACGCTGAGCCCCACGCACCCGGCGCCGAACACGGCGATGTTGGACCCTTCCTCCACCTTGGCCGTGATCCGCGCCGCTCCGTAGCCGGTCGTGATGCCGCACCCGAGCAGGCACGTCTTCTCCATCGGCGCGTCCTGCTGCACCGCCACAACCGAGATGTCTGCCACGACCGTGTACTGCGAGAAGGTCGAGCAGCCCATAAAGTGCAGCAGGTCCTTGCCCTTGCACCGGAACCGCGACGTGCCGTCGGGCATGAGACCCTGGCCCTGCGTGGCGCGGATCTTGCCGCAGAGGTTCGTCTTGCCGGACTTGCAGAACTTGCACTCTTTACATTCCGGCGTGCTGTCGGGTGTGAATCCAAGTCAGTGGGTCCCCAAGGGGTTATCTCGGCGTTGGGATCATTGCTTGGCGGCGAGGTGAGGACATGGGAGGGGCAGGAGAGAGGGGTGGGAGAGGTATGACTGCAGAACCGGGAACAGGCGGGGCGCGACTCACTACAGGGCGACGACGTGGTCGCCAGGTTTCACGCTGGTGACGCCCTCGCCTACTGATTCAACAATGCCGGCGCCCTCGTGCCCGAGAATAATGGGGAAAGCTCCCTCGGGGTCGTTTCCTGAGAGAGTGTACGCATCTGCGATCATGGCTGGGTCAACTCGGGACACCGCCGACCGGCAGCCCATCCAGCTCGGTCCTCAACAGAGCAGAGATCACGACATGTGCTGACCTGTGTGACAGACTCCGGTGTGGTAGATCTCGATTCGGACTTCATGTGCCTTGGGCGGCGCGACCTCAATGTTCTCGATGCTCAGCTCCTTGCCGGCTTCCCACGCCACGGCGGCCTTGCAAGTAATAGTCTGATCACGTCCAGTAGGTTAGCACATTGGTCTCTTTACGTCATTTGATTTGGCGCAGCTCGAAGGGTTTCGGGCGCCATTCCCCTCAATCCCGAGGACGGGTCTGTCCGTACCTTTCCTACTGTCGACGCCATGGTCATGGTGATCTGAAGTGGGTGAAGGTGTAGGGCTCAATGGATTGGGATGCACGAGAAGCTCGTGTGTATTTTCCATTTAGTCTATCAATATCGCCACGTGAAACCCCCTCTGGACGAAGCTGTCTTATAGCTAGCTTCGAAGCTTCCCCACACATTGCAAGAGAGGGGCTGGAACCTGTCAGGGAAGACTCCCAAGACGCCGAGCCCCATCGAGTGTTGGAGTTTGGGCGGATCGTCAGCCAGGCACAATTCGGCGATATCGCGGCATTGACGGAACGGGGGTTTAGGTTTACCCCAGTTTCTAGGCTGCTTCTTCACTCCTGTGTGCCATCCTCTCAGCTTCAATTAAACCCAGCAGAGTGCTTGGAAATAAACGGGTCTAAGTAGAGTGTCTGATTCCGTGGTTGAATGGCTGCGAAATGATTCATGAATTGTCCTCGTGTTTCCTAGAGAATTATCCTTGGGTCGGACTTTGGTAAGCTACGAACAGATGGTAGCCCTGTAGGTGGAGGTTCGCCTCATTCGTTTCCTTTGGTCCTCAATTCCTGCTTCCAACCGTGTTCTAGCCCAGTCCCTAGTGCCTAGCGCAAGTGCAGGACCACCTGTCTGCGATGATATCAACATCCAACGGTCCGTCAGTCTGGTCCAATGCTAGACTACAGCGGCATGATCTCATCCAAAACGCCTTTCCCTTTTCCGATTCAAGCAGGGTGCAAGAGATACCCTCTGTATTCCGTCACCGTGCCGAAGGGAGTTGTGAGATGACTAGTTGAAAGGAGGCACGTTGGGACCCTGGCCACGAGAGCGCTCGGTGCTGGCAGTCGCGGCGGACGGGTTGTTCTGGCCTCCAGTGCCATGGGATCCGGCATGGTGACCTCGAAGGTAAGGAGGAGGACCCCACTTAGGGCAGGTCGGCTGAGATGAGCCCTTCCACTCCGCAAAAGCCTGAGAGTTGTCGTTGTACTCGTGGCACTGAGACAAGACTGGCGTCTGGGTTCCTTCGGAGACGTGGCAGCTTTTGTCATCGGAGAGTCCAAGCGCTGGGAAATGCGGTCAGATCAGGCGGCCAAGTGGCATGGAGGAATGCGGATTAAGCTGCCATTGAAGGAAAACAGGGCACAAGAAGTGGTACTCACAGCTAGACTTGGCCTCGATTGAGTCCACCTGATGATTCTCCTTATTCTTCCCAGTGGATATTCCCTCCGCCTGTCGCTTGGCCTCCTCCGGGTCAATGTATTTGGCTGCAGAGGTGATGTGAAGGGCCTCGGTCTCCTCGGGCTTCATGGCCTTGGAATTGGTGATGTCGCCGGCATCTTGAGTTGAGGGAGGAGGGACTGTCAGCTCAACAATGGTCCAGACAGCCGCAGCAAACAAATACCATTCATCGTGAATGGCGTATGGGGTTTTCTTGGTTTCTGGAATATCTGAGGTCATGAAGCCCGTAGAGGTGGTGATTGAGCAGTCTGCGGTGGGTGCAACAATCCAGGTGACCTCATCAGGCCGGGTAGGGGTGGGAATGGGGTCCTCCCACCACCACTGCCATTGGCACGTTGTCTGTTCACGAGTGTAGTGGTACAGAACAGGGTTACCATGGCCAGATGGCAGGAGGAGGATGAAGGTACAAATGAGAAGCGCGTAACAAGACATGATTGGTGGTGTGGACGAGATGCGAGTGGCAGAGGTTGGTGATGGCGAGGAGGGTGAGGAGAGCAAACAGGCTGCGCACCTTGGCCATTCTTTTTGGGCTCAGCACCAGCCGAGCCGGGAGAGGTCGGGAGACGAATGATGGTCATGGTGTCGACAGTATCTCACGATGTTTCTGGTTGGAATAAGGTGGTCGATATCGACAGTTGGTGTTGTTGGTATGTCGGGTGGTCAAGGTCGGGGGGCGCTGGGCGGCAAGGTAACTAAGAGGGACTGGAAGCTGCCTTGGAACGTCACGTAACAATGCTGGACCAGCGCTGCACGGCCACTCAAGGTGAACTTGCACTCATAAAACAGTAATGAATGGGACTATGGCTGATATTGTATTCTAGGGTTCTGAGGATGGATGAAGGCTTGCAGGGCTGCATCTGGCTGTCTGTCTACCATCTGCAAGCCCCCTCCATTGCTGATGGTTCTTTCCTGGTTTCCTCTCTTGTGAGACTCTCAAAGGCACAGTTTCCTGCTTGTGACTCACAATCCCAAGGCTGTCAAAAGATGGTCGAGCCATTGATTCTTTCGCTATCGAAATTGTCCATGAGCCCCCTCTAGAGCAGGCCGTTGGCTTCCATCAACCATGGATTTATTGCCCACCAGGACGTGCACAGAACCATCGAGAAGGAGAAATACAGCTTCTCAGCCCTAGATACATCGCCAACACAGACGGAACTGCTTCCACCCGTGGGCCTTTTTTCCCTTACTAACATTCTGAGCCTGCAGACTGCCAGTTGGCCCATTTCCAGAAGGCCCACTGCAGGTCGGCCGGCCTCAATGTGACACAACACAGGCCGCCTGCAATGCTTTCTGACTTCAAAGGTCAGTCCGTTTAGCAGAAAAGACGTTCCCCTAGGGCCAAGTGTCATAAATCCACTCCTTCAGGAACATTGAGACTTGGATCAGGAGGTGTGTTATGCTGACATACTGGAGCTTTTGTCGCGTTACCAAGCAGATGAGCGACGGCCATTGATTGTTGTCTCAGGAAATCTGTTTGCTTTGATCAGGTCTGCTCTATCGAGATTGCGGGCCTCATTAGGCATGCGAAGGAGTGGGTCAAGGCCTCTGAGCGTCTGACAGAGCGAAGGCTTCGGATAGGCATACCACACAACCATCTACCTGAAAACGTGTAAATGACTTTGGTTTCAATTAGTGTGGATCCGGCGGATCGAATCGAGTACCATCTTCGTGCGAAATGCCCGTTCCCCTGCATCAGCGTCAAGGATGAGCTCCGTGCAAGCAGGCGGACTCTCTCGGATCTCACGGCTCCACACAATGTCGCTACTGTAACCAGCACCCAGAAGAGGTCTTAGAACCACCGAGGATGTGTTCGACCACCTTCGCACACTCTTGCTTCGATTCAGTACAAAAATCCTCAGTCATCACAACTGGTGTTGCGAATACACGGTTGAGCTCACCGAGTCTGGGCCGATCGTGAACGGCCGAGTCAGGGATCGTGCAAGTGGACTTCTGCGGACATTTGCACCTCTTTTGAGGGCCGAGGCCGTCTCGAACCGGCAGTGTTCCCGACCGTGGGCACGCGGAACCCCAGTTTGATGGAGTTCAATGTTGCGACGTATACGCGCGAAAGGGCTGCAGCGAACGGTCATGAGCCGACTTGATAAACCGTTGGGTTGCCTATCACTTCCCCAGATCTGGTTTCTCACCTCTTCCTTGCTTCTCGACTTTCTGCTTGCGTTGTGTGTGTATTCTTGATTCTCCATTCCACAGGCTCACACGCCAGAAGTCGTTCCTTGGGAACCGAGATTACGTCCACTCATTACTATCACTTTACAAGATGGGAAGTAGTCAATGTAGGCGACTTTTCTCCCAAGGCGGGCAGAATAAGTATGTGCTGACACAATACAGCAAGTCCTAGTTCCGCCTCGACGGCCGTGGCAACCCAGGCACAGCTGCAGAGCTTCCAGTATGTGGCTCAGTATGCGGCGGCTGCATACTGCAACTCTGCAGATTCCCTGACAGCAGGGACCCTTGTCTCATGTGGCAACGATGCTTGTCCAGACTTGGAGACCAACCGGGTGTTTTTGGAAGGCATCTTGGAGTACGTCGGGCATTTTACTGTATGAACAGCTCTTGATGGACCCCTGCTTACTCTCTCGGCAGTGCCAATGACGGTACGGGCACTGGTGGTTACGTAGGAGTGGACCCAGCACAGAAGGTCATCATTGTCGCCTTCAAGGGAACGGACAACGGCGCCTCTTTCGCCTACGAGTGAGTTCAGGCTCCAAGGATTACACTGCGCCGATCTACTACTAACCTTGTCTACAGTCTAGAAGCTATCACCACCGACACTCACTTGTGCGATGGCTGCATGATCCATGGAGGCTTCGCTACCTCATTCGATAATATGCACCCAGCCATGACAAATCTCGTTAAATCTGCCCGCGAAAGCAACCCGGACTTTAGCATCGTCACCACGGGTCATAGCCTGGGAGCGGCCATGGCCACGATGGCTGGCGCATGGCTCCGAGAGGACGGCTACCCCTGCGACATCTTCACGTACGGATCACCACGCATCGGCAACGAAAAGCTCGCGAGTTACATCTCGCAGCAGGCGGGCAACGAATACCGGATCACCCATCTGAACGACCCCGTGCCACGCCTGCCCGGCCACTGGCTCGGCTACAGACACACGGACATGGAGTACTGGCTGTCGACCGGCGAGGCTACCACCATCGACTACGGCGTGTCCGACATCCAGCTCTGTGAAGGAACCTACAACTCGAACTGTAATGGAGCAGGAAGTATGGGGACAGATTATACCCCCCACGGATACTACTTCCGCAAGATTGGAGCTTGCAAAAACACCTAGGTCGGTATTAATCTCACCTGAAACCTATAGTACTGCAACTCAGCAGAAAATGGCCAGGGCCGCTGCATTGAATTCTGGTAGCACCCCTTAGCGACGGTGCAATAATCTTTTAATCTGAAACAAATTCTATACCTACATCTCTTTCATTACCCATGGTTTCAAAGCTCGAGATGGCCGCGACTGGTTAAGTCATTTTTTAACCGTCCCGCAACGAAATGTACTCAATGACTTTCTACAACGTGCTCAACGATGCGCGGATTTGGAAAGTAACCTGCCAACTCGTTTTTGCAAAGGTTGCCTGGGCCCACTCATGTCGTCTTTGTCCGCTGTGAGTCTGCAGCAATGTTCGCAGCGCAAATCGTCTATCCTTACTTTGAGGTTTAGCTCAAGGGCCGCATTGGAGACAAGACGCGAATCTGGTCCGCCTCGTACGGCATGATGATGTTCACCTCTAAAAGATTGAACCACCTTCGGCGAGCCATTCAGATTGGAGGAATCGGCCCTTGGGACACACTCATGGACACATCAGGTATGCAAGATTGTAATGTAAGAGTCAGTCACTGTAGGATAGGAAGCTGTTTGGTGAAGGTTGCGGGATGCTGGTAAAGGAGGGTAGCATTCCAGAGCTGGGGTCCCGTGGAACATGATAAGTGCGAACTTGTGTGTAGGAACCGGCTTCTTGGGTGGCACTGACAGGTGTGCACTCCGCTAATGCATTTGACAGGAACCGACCCAGATCCACTGAGAATTGTGTGACTGTTGACTGGTATGGTGATTTCTGATAATGGTGGCGTTCCGTGATATTACGTCCGCGCCGGATAATCCTCCTAGGAAATCCCCGTCAATCAACACAACGGGAAGCTAGAGAAGGAGGGACGGGATCCGTGCCAAGCACGAAGATGACCCACGGCCCCAGCACCCTAGGCATTTTAAGCCGTACGACTTTCAATCCCGAAGAGTGAAAACAAGAGTTCCCTTCAGTCACGATCTTAGACCCTGTCCGGACAAACACGTCAGGTATCATGGGTAGCATTGGGTGCAGGCCTCGCGCCGCAAGAAGACCCCGTGATATGAGAGGATTAGGAATCTGTTTCCGGCGCCAGATACGGCCCCAGCCTGGTCAACAATAGCAGAGCCATCACAGGCAAACCATGTACAATCATCCCGATTTAAGGTCATCGATACCCTCACAGCAAGGATGAGAACCCAAGACTTGTGTTGTGTGACATCGTGACAGAGTGCCGGAGACGTCTTCGCCAAGTCATTTTCAACCCTACCATCACCGTCCCAGCCTTTTCTGTCTTAACTTGTTGCCCAAGATGCTGAACTTCGGGCTCTTTCTACTGACGGCGATCCTCGCCGGCGACAAAGCTTGTGCCGCTGGGGTGACCGGCGCAGCTGAAGGCTTCGCCAAGGGCGTCACTGGCGGCGGCAGTGCATCTCCCGTCTATCCTTCGACCAATGCCGAGCTTGTTAGCTGTAAGTATAAGATTTCTCCTTCTCTTACTCCCCACTCGGTCCTTCTTTAGACACTCCAGCATGCAACACTTCAATAGTCGGAAGTGCACTAATACACAGCAGACCTTGGCGACTCTTCTGCGCGTGTGATCATTCTCACAAAGACTTTTGATTTCACCGGCACCGAAGGCACGACCTCTGCAACTGGGTGCGCCCCTTACGGCACGGCATCTGGCTGCCAGACTGCCATCAACCAGAACAATGTGTGTTTATTTTTCCGCGGCTCTGCCTCACTGGCACATGCAACGCCTGGAATAAGCTGACCCTTGGTCAAGTGGTGTACAGAGTATCAACCAAACGCACCAAGTGTTTCAGTCAAGTACGATAATGCTGCAATTTCCGCGATCACTGTCAAGTCGAACAAATCCCTTGTCGGCTCTGGCAGCTCCGGAATCATCAAAGGAAAGGGCTTAAAGATTGTCAGCGGTGCCAGCAATATTATTATTCAGAATGTGCATATTACAAACCTCAACCCTCAATACGTCTGGGGTGGTGATGCCATCACCTTGAACGGTGCTGACCTTGTCTGGATTGATCACGTCAAGGTAAGTCATATACGAAGACTTCCAAGCAGCGGGAACACCGATGGGCTTGGGCATCAAGCCTGCAAGAAAGACTTACCAACTCACCCGCGACCAGACCTCTCTCATCGGTCGTCAGCACATAGTCTTGGGTTACGAGGCTTCCAACCGCGTCACCATCTCCAACACCGAAATCGATGGCTCAACCTCCTGGTCCGCTACCTGTGACGGGCACCACTACTGGGGCCTCTACTTCACCGGCTCCAACGACCTGATCACCCTCAAGGGTAACTACATCCACCACACCTCGGGACGGTCCCCGAAGGTGGGCGGCAACACGCTCCTCCACGCGGTCAACAACTACTGGTATGCCAACTCGGGCCACGCCTTCGAGGTTGATGCCGGCTCAATGGTGGTGGTCGAGGGCTCCGTGTTCCAAAATGTCGTCGCCGAGGTCGAGGCGAGCAGCTTCAAGGGAAAGATGTTCAACAGCCCGGACACCACCAGCAACGCGGCGTGCGCCTCATACCTGGGCCACAACTGCCAGCTGAACGCCTTCGGGAGCAGCACCGGGTACAGCGCCAAAGACACGTCTTTCTTCTCCAACTTCCAGGGCAAGAACATTGCCAGCGCGAGCACGGCGTCTTCGGCCCAGTCGAGTGTGCCGAACTCGGCTGGCATTGGAAAGATCTGAGTGGTGGGATGGTAGAGCTCTCCGGTCCCCTGAGGAGGCCAGCTGTCTGAGGTGCATGTGGAAGGGGACTCGGTGATTTTAGTCTGTCATACGGTGGACGTTGCTGCAGTAGGCGCAAATCCGCCAGAGTACTATCTAGATGCTAGTAAACCGCGTCTCACAGCTCCAGGATCCTGTTTGACGACTCCTTGACAAGGCGTTGTTCAAGCATTGAGTCTAGCTTTATATTCTTGTATCATAAGTTCCCATATTAAACAGTATTGCTTCCACAGCATTGAGAGGGATTCACAGCAGAATCGGGCTTCTTCCTTTCCAGCAAATTTGGAATAGACGCTTTTGACGAAAGGACTGCTGTGAGCTGCTGACTTCAATCTGACGCTGTCTTGACTTGAAATAGCATCTGAATACGTTTGTACACACTCCTGTCTTGTTCACAATTTCCTACGTTAATTACACTGAAGCACGCCTTGTCTCCGAAGCGTATAGCTATAGCTTATCTGACCATATTAAAGGAGGTATAGGTGAGTAAAAGGGAAAGAATACTTAGCATTACACGGCATCAAGGGACTGGATGCATATTGCTTAAGAAGCATATGTGTACAGATTAAAAACGAGACCACTTACACGGCATCATATCAATATCCAATAGACCAGGTGCCTGGAGAAAATGTTGTTGGAGACCAAGTATGTTGATGTAAGTCTGGGCCTGCGCTATCCCGGCGAGGCCGAAGCGCACCGGATAGGCGTTTTAGCACTGCACTGCTGTAGTTTCCTCCCTCCTGACTCGTTTTGCGGTACCTAAGTTCCATAACCTTATTTCAGTGCAAATCGACGTCTGACAGCGCAAACCCTCGGGTTCGCATTCGTAAAAGTGGTCTTCATGCTGCTGCTCGTTCGGTCTCGTATTTTGCAACATTGAACAATACGAGCATTTGCATTCCGGCCTGCCCGCAACCACCCACAACGCTTCGATACAATGTCAATCAACATGCTTGCAAAAGAAAATGGTGCCTTCTATACACCAAAAACGCCACCGTCGCCACTGGCCTGTATGTTGTTCCTGAGCCTCGGTTTCGTGTCAGCATCATCGCTTTCGCAACGCCGCAGGCCCCAAATAAGCACCCGAGCAGGTCACGATGCGAGCGGCGCGTGGTTTTAAGTTCGACGAATTCGATGACCTCTGTGGCGAGCTGGATGGAGAACAACTTCAGCTGAAATGGCAGCACTACACCCGCGCGTTGTCCGCAGCATCGACAAGCACAGCCGTGGCGACACTGGCCGCAGGACCCACGGGAGGCGTCTCGATGATAGGGGCCATGATCGCTGGTCCGCTTATCCACAACGCGCGGAAGAAGCGCCAGATCATCGAGCACCACATGAGCATCAGGGGCATTGAGCCGGAGACGCGCAACAAGGACATCTACGGCCCCATGGGCTTCAGCGCAGTGCTGGGGGGGGGGGGGGAGCGACAATGGGCGTCGGGTCCCTGGGCGCGGAGCTTCTCGGCGTCGACACCATGACCAAGATCGTCTCCCATGCTGCTATTGATGCTGGTGTCACGGCTGCCGAAGACAAGCATTCGCAGAGGGAACATGACAAGGAGATTGAAAAAGCAGGCGCCCAGCTTGTGCGCGCTAATACCGCGCCTGTATCGCAGGTGGTTCCGATGAACCCGAGTATTGGACAGGTGCTGCTGAACCACACAAAGAGCATGCCTACCTCGCTAGGGGCCACAGCAAACGGACTCATTGCGTCGGCGGCGCGCCTGAAGGCTGAGAAATACCCTTTGTTAAAGGAGTATCTTACCTCTGTTGCGGTCCAATCACGAGGAACTCTGTCAAAACAAACATCAAGGGAGGGAGGCCCTCGCGCGCCCTTCCGGTCCGGGACCAGCCAGAACTATGAATCACATTCGTCTTCCGCCCCACTCTCATCCATCCAAGAGAAGGCCTTCGTCCCAGACACCAGCCCATCTCCGGCGACCTCACGCGAGCCGGTTGAGCTCGATTCCACGCCTCGGACAGCTCCCTCGAAATTGGACTCGTGTATTGTCAGCCCCCTCTCGCCGCCCAGTTCGGCAAGCCATTGGCCCTCGCCACCTCAGTCCTTCGTCTCAGAGCTTGAAGACGCCAGCAGCCCCGGGTCGTCCACCTTCCATACGAGCACTGGATCCTCCGAGCTTCCAGGCGATGCTGACACCATCATGTCCAGCTTGCTCGAAGCCATCGACGAGACAACCCTGAACGAGCTCGAGGCCGACCTAGAGTGCGCTGTCGTGGAGATGGACAACCCTGAGACCTGGATCAATTCAGTCGAGAAAGAAGCCGGAGCTGCCGCCTCCACACCTGAGGCAAGGCGCATGAGCAGGACATTCAAGCTGCCCTCCGACCTGGACAGCCTCGTCAGACGTCACAGCACGCGCTTCACCCGCCGGTCCAGTCAGCGGGGTAGCAGTGTGCGGTATAGCCAGTATTCATTTGTAGAGGGCGAAGACAAGTTGAGCACAGCCTCGATCACAACGCTGCGGAAACCCGCATCACAGGCGACCTTGCGCACCAGCGCCTCGTCGACACGCCTTCAAGTATCGAGTCTGGACGGGGATCAGCGTCTCGTGCAGCAACATGACAACCTAAAAGCCAAGTCCCTCGAAACTCACACCCATCCTAACCGCCAGCTGCGGCGTCCAGCGTCCAACAGCTCTCTGCTGCCTGCGTACAGTGCGGTGGACGCAGCCTCCGCTCCGGCGTACAAAATCACCCACAACACCAACGAGCCACATTCGCCACAAGACCATGACTTGCACGCGCGGCAGCAACAAGGGGAGTCCTCTCGCGGCGCACCCGCAGGTCACGATACCGCCGCTCATGATGCCACCGACGGGATACATAACCCGCCGCTGTCATCGTCACGCTCACTCCCGCTCCGGCCGATGACGCACCACTCATCGAGCGGTTCGATGTCTTCGGCGCTAAGCCGGACGGGCAGCGTGGCGCTGAGCGCGCACGAGGGCATGAAGAAGGTTGGGTACTTCGGGCTGGAGCCGGCGACCAAGCTGGCCATAGCGGGCAGCCTCCTGATGGTCGGCGTGAGGCCGAGCGTGCAGCGCAAGTATCTGGACAAGGCCAAGGGTAGGATGGGTCTGCCTGTCGAGGATAAGGGGAACAATGGCTTCATGGGTATGGGGAAAGAATTTGGAAAGGGAGAGGAGAAGCAGAAGCGCGTGCATGGGGACGATGCTTATCTTGATTACATTTAATTGGAATTATGGTTAGGGAGCGAATCTATATGGCGTCCATATGGTTGCAGGTGACTTCTTGAAAAAGTCAGCATGAATAGCTACAGGTCCTGAACTCCATTCGCATATTTCCCTGTTTAATCTGTTCATTTGGGTGAAGTGGGTCATAATACAAGGCCGCCTTAGTCGCTATGAATGCGCACAGCTTTACGGCAATGTTGACATGGAGTCGATATTGATGGTCCAACTATAATGGTTCGGAAACACCCCTACCTAGTTCAATTGCTCTTCCGGTGGATATCTTTGAAACTAGGTACAAGGAGATAAAACTGGGCACATGAAAGTACTCAGCGCACACTGCTCACCTGTTCTTGGTCGGACCAGTTGAGCAATCAGACAATGTGAGGGAGTGGCTGGACGGACTACGTTCAGAGCAGGGTGTGAGCATTTCAGAGACGATTTCCAATGGCTACGCTTGGATGCAATAAGCAGTAAATCAATTTCTCCTCAGGGTATCTAAAAAACAACTTGAAGCGTCATACGAACGGCAATTCTTCAAACTCCAAGTCCCGCGCATATTCCTCTCAAGCTCCAGCCGGCCGAACGCTCTGAGGATTGTGAAAGACATCGTTTGGATCCCACTTCGATTTGATGCCCTCCAGTATCGGCAGGTTTCCTTCCCAATATTGCTCTTGAGGTATTCCAGATATGTTGAGGTCTACGTACCCAGGGTACGTGCCCCTAGTCATAGTATTCTCTGGCAGCTTCCCGACCAACTCCTCGTGGAAGTCACTAAGGAAGGTCCAAGTCGTGTTCGACAAGCTGAGCAGGTCGACTGCGTAGGACTGGTAGAACATGTACTTGTCGCGGTGGGCGTATGCCGTGGCGTTCAGGGGGACATCAGCAACAGCACCGCCCGTGGCGTCGAAGATGATGAACCACAGAAGAGTCCCTTTATCCACACCCTGTGCATACTCGAACAGGCCGGTGGCGTTCTCTTTGCTGAGGACATCCTCCTGTCGGAAGCCGAGGCTCTTGGCGTAGAAGTTGGAAGACACAGTAGCCAAATAAAGTGCTTCTTTCTCCGCCCACGCAGCCAGGGAGCCGAGCCAGTCGGTCACGGCAATGGTGCCATTGCCTGGTAGGCGCTGATGGATGCCAGTCGCAGCGAACTCGTCCTCGGTCCCATAGAATGTCCCTGTGATGATGATTCCCCCGAGCCACATTATCAGCTCGGTGCCAAAGCGTCGATCCAGGGTCGGGTCAGACACGACGTCCTGCCACTGCATGTAGACATCTGTGAGTCGTGCTGGGTCATCTCCGATGGTGATGTCGAAAGTGTATTGGACGACATTGCCGGGCTCCGGGTGTGTCCGCATCACGAATTCCGTAATAACACCAAAGCTAGCGCCGGCTCCTCGAAGACCCTGCGCGAATTGTCAGTAGAGATGCGAAAGTTGAAGAGCTGCTGCTGAGTCTTACATAGAAAAGGTCACTGTTCTCCTGGCCATTCGCACGAACAATGGTTCCATTAGCTGTCACTACCTCTAACTCGACAATATGATCAAGAGCCGATCCCCACATCCTGGACATGGGACCAAGGCCACCCTACGGAGCTCTCTCGTCAGTCACTCATCCAATCTCTCATCAGGGGGGAAGAAATGACTCACGATAGTCGCATGGCCACCAATGCCCACGGATGGACAGACCCCATGAGCGAAAGCGCGGCCGGTCTCGTGCAAATTGTCATCGATATCACCGAGTCTCAATCCGGCTCCGATGGTCGCATATCCAGTGCCGTTGTCGATGCTGTACTGGTTGATGTTCACTAGGTCGATAGCGACAGCTCCGTCTCCGAGCCCAAAGTTCGCGTAGGAATGTCCGCCAGACTTGGCTTGAACTTTGTAGCCGTTTTCCGCGGCGCATTGTACGGTCGCTGCAACTTCTTTGGCAGAGTTTGGCCGGATAACTACCTCAGGGTTGACGTCCACCGCAAGATTGTACGGCTTGACCCAGCTGAGCTGGTAGGTGTTCAGGATGTCGAGGCCTTCATCGGCAAACCTAACGCAGTCTGAGTTGCCTGCGCAAACATCGTTGAGGCAGTCCTTGAGGGAGGCCAAGGCCGACGGTAGAAAGTTGACCGTCACTAGGACTCTGGCCCATGGCAGAAGAGTAAACATCCGCATGGCTCTTCACGGAGGATATCTTCGTTTGGATTGAAAAGAGTGGATGAGAAGGATGGCAAGAAAGGTTGCCCGAGCAAGATAGCTACTTGCTATGGGCAGCTCTGCGTGCGCTGCCGGGGTTTCTCAGTAAAGTTGTGTCAGGGGACGAGGTGAGTTGTACAAGTACGCAGTCTATGAACTGGATCTCAGGTGCACGAATGACGGTTTTGTGTAATATGGAGTCCGGTCATGGCATGTTTCCGGGTTAGCACAGGCGGTCAACGCATGCCGGGTTGATCACTATTGGGCAGGTCAGGCGTTCGTCCGATGTGTGACAGGGCGCGCAAATGTAGTCAATATAACAAACTCTCTGAGAGGGAGCCCGAGGAGCATTGCCGACATGCTCCGGCAGTTGGAGGTGGCAGGCCGGGCTATTCTACTGATTCGGTGGACAACCGACTATCAAGGCGAGGTAATACAGGTTCCCAACATCTATACCCGTTGTACAACTAAGCACATGGGTGTTGGGTCCTTCTTTCTCTTTTCCTTGCAAAGAGAGACCCAATCACACACAAGGTCTCGCCAGTTGAAGGCAAGCTAGGCTCTCCCACTTCTCAGCAGCATCCACTTTGCCAATATGTTCGAGACTCTACAAAAACCCACCAGCGCGGCACAGTACAGGGGCCTAGGTCTGTCTAAGCCAACGGACTCTACATAAGCACACGTTGGCAGGCATGCATTACCCAAACTGCTGGGCTGATAATGGAAAGCTTCAGGGTGTGATTTGTCCGTCATAGCATCGGCCGCATGAACTCGGCTCCTGAACCCCTGACTCCTTGTGGCTTGGCGTTGCCAATCGCCTTGGCCTCACGAGCTCGACAGGCTGGGATCTACCCTCCGGCAGCCGCCGGCGCCACTGGTGCTACTTTAATTATGCTCAGCCCAGCAGCCCCAAGAGAATCCCGACTGGACGGCCAACGGCTGCGGCCTCTGCCGGGAGCCGCATTCGGTCGTTGCATCACGAGGGGCGGTGTCTGCTGCGCTCCCATTATTCAGGGAACTGACCACCGAAAAAGACGCGAGCGCCGGGCAGGTTTGTTCTGGAAAGAAACGGCAGTTCTCCGTCTTCTGCTCTCCGTCGCTGTTGTGCTCCCTGCAGTGTTACTCGGCTCGTATCCTTGGTGCACTCGTTAATCTTGTCGATCCCATCTCCTTCAACACCTGGGTCCCCTTCCTTTTGGTATGAACTCTACCATTTCACATTTTGTACTTGTGGCACTCGAACTCCGCCAGGCGAGCGAGGTATCAAGCCAGCTACACAGACGTGCTTGAACGTCACCAGAGGTATTCACCAAGAGACATCTATCGGTATCATAAGTTCGATACCGTGCACAGGTTTCAGACCTGATATTACTACTGCGATTGAGTCCTCCTCCGCCTGGATAAACACAAGAACAAAATCTGGATGTGTGAGCAGATTGCTGAGTAATTTAGCGCTGAGGAGACCACACATCGCATCTACACTAATAAATTCTTGAAGCCCTTGCTAATTCAATCCAATGCGCCGTAACCGCTCCCGCGGCATTATTGCCTGTTTACAATCCCACGACCGGGCAGACGCTGAAGCTACACCGTTTTCCCTGCCACACGCTCCAATTAAAATTGTGCCAACTCGTCCCTTGAGACTTTGCTCTTACTTTGTCTTTTCAAAGTGACTGTTTGCAAAGCTTCAGCCTCTTGGGCGAGCCCAGCTTCGATCAAGATGTCAAACACATCGTCTCCTGTCACATCAGGCCACTCCGCCGCCGCTACCTCAGCTTCAGCACATTTCAAAATCAAATGCCACAAGTCATTGATTGTCGTCTTTTCGGAGAATTCGCACAGTCCAATGAATAACTTAGCGAAAGCGGCCACTTCTTCTCCATCCAAAGTTCCAGCGCACTGGCGGAACTCTATTGTCCTCTTAACGTCCGACTCGCCGTAGAATCCCGGTATATAGTTCCTGAAATTGAACGCAAGCTTTCTTGCGCTTATCTTCGAGGAGCTGTTCATCAACCTACCCACCGCTTCCGGTAGCGAACAGATGGGTAGCTGCCGAGCAGTATTGGGGGTACTCTGGGGTGCGCGGAGGCTCGTGTGAAACTTTTCCACGCTCACTGGAACTTGGTGGGGTTTAAAGGGGTACCATTCTAGACAACCGGCGGCAATGCGACGTGAAAATACGCGGGAGCTACCCGCGTATTCCGTCCCTCTGCCGCCGCGCTGGCCGAACGCGAGGGGCTCCAGGGCTTCTTCATCAAGGGACTCATTGACTTGTTCGGCGGTCAAGGTTCTCTGGGCCACTTCGGAAAAGTAACGATTACTAAGGCAATGGTAGTTGTCCTTGCGGCTCTCGGGGTGTAGTTGGGCCAGCAAGGGATCACAAGCCAAGAGCAGAGCAGCAGCTTGTCTCAGGTGATGGACGGGAACCCAGCCGCTTCCACGGCCCCAATGTATGTGCAGCCCACAGGAGTCTGTAATCAGAGTGAGGAAGTTCGTCCTCAGAAGCTCACAAACCTTTTTGACTTCTTTGAAACTCTCCGGGGCAGCCCAAAGGGCTGGTGAAGTGACTTCGACGCAAACCCAGTGGTATCCACGAAACTTGCCCAGAATACCATGATTTTCTGGTAGCATTATTGAGTAGTCCGGCTTCACAGTCCATTTTGAGTAGCCTTCGAGGCTCTCGTAATCATCCGTGACCGGCTGACCTGGTGGTAGGACTCTGGTCGCTGGATTAACAATACCAAGGTGCTGTTCGATTGTGCTCTGAATCGTTTTGTAGCAGCAAAGATCAACACCATCGTAGGCACATTGAGACTCGGGGATGAATACCGGCTGACCTCGTCGGTGGCCAGTCTCATATCCTTCTTGCGTGGAGTATTGCTCCGTCTCTAGTCCAACGGCCACGAGAAACTCCAACTCAACGCCGAAACTGGACTTGTACATCATGTTGGGTAACACTCGAAAAGCTTCAGTTGGTTCCTTGTGGTATACGAGGCGGTTCTCAGGTGGTGTCGGATCGAGCTCATGTGTGCAGAGCTTCGAAGTTTTAGCTGTAGAAATTCTAGAACAAATATCCAAATACACTGGCGGATGCTCTGATTGGCTCGACAAGGCATTGTGTGAACAATAGGCATTGTGTTCTCTTCTGATAATGCCACCTTCATTCAGTTTTGGAATTTCCCGTTGCGCATCAAAGGGTAGACCTGGACATAAACGAGATGCTTTGGAACGGTATGTCTCCATAGGATGGGTACCAACTTTTCCTGCTATAAGTCCGTGACTTGGGCGAATGGTGCTGCAAATTCTACTGCACGTGAGCTCATCCTGCAGAATGGTCCGGACCGGAGATTCCAGTCTATGGCACCAAAAACAGAAGTAAAGATGACCCAATAGGATTTACTTTTGCTCGTTTCAGTTGTGTATATGTCCAGTATCGACGTGAGGATATCTCTATTGGCATGTCAAGATCTAACTATCTTGGGCCATGGTCCCGTAGAATGTGCCTCTGCCATTCGTGCCAACGTAAACCCGACCAGGCACATTTCCGCTGCCGGCGAGTTTGCCCTTTTCTGAGTTTACTGCACCGAAGCCCTGCGCATCGCCCTGAATGTCTTGCCACGAAGCGCCGCCATCGACACTGGCATAGAGCCTCGTGCCCGCTGGCCCCTTTCCAAATGCATATATAGCCCAGGAGGTAGCATCCGGGCCCAGTCCCAGGGCTATCAGCTGTGTGTTGGTGAGCGCGCCCGCCGTTATCAGCGTGAAGGTGGAGCCGTTGTCCGTGCTCTTGAATATTCCCCCGTTGGTCGAAACGTAGACCTCGCCCTCGGTGACCGGGTGCGCGGCGATGTCAACCACCACTGTAGCGTTGCCCAGCTCACCGGCTTGTGCGAATGTAGCCCCCGTGTCGGTCGACACATGGAACACACCCTTGGAGGCGCCATAGAAGACGGAGCCATTGCGCTTGTCAGCAGCGATGACCGCGCCCGGGGCAAGACTCGAGACGGGAGTGAAGTCGCTGCCGTTCCTGGAAAGGTAGACCTCCCTGTTCCATGAGGACCACAGGATCGTGTCTCCATCAGCCGAGAAAGCCGCATTACCACCATAGGTCGAATTATCGGTCCCCAGGTGGGCTTTCCACGTGGCACCGCCGTCGGCGCTGGTGATAATCTGGCTTTGTGAGCCGTCGGAGCTGTTCCCTACACGCACGACGTGTTCGACGCCGTTCCCGGCGAAGTCTTCAAAGCCACAGTCAGCATTATCTCGTTCGCTCGCTCTTAGACTGTGGTTGCGGTTCACTTACCGACTCCAACTGTCGTAGAAATTTGAGGATTCGTCCACGGGGTGGAGGGCGGTGTGTCGAGGTCGCTGCTGTTCCTGTATGTGAACCCGTCGATATCGCCGACTGCGACCAAGAGCTCGGTTCCTGAAGGAGCGGAAGCGAGGTCCAACACGGCGGTCTCCTCCATGCCGTAAGCCATGTTCTGGATTGTGACGTTTTCGCGAGGGCTCTTGTCCCATTTGGTCAAGTCCCGACCTCCCCAAACACTCATGCCCGTTCCATACATCCAATGATCACTGTTGAGAGGATCGATCTCCAGTGCTTCAATCATCCACCCCACGTGCTTCACCCGGAACATTGACGAATCCTGTTTCGAGCCACGGTGCTGAAGGAGCAATGGTTGTATGGTGGCGCGCCATCGTTCCCGCGGATTGGTCTGCCCAATCCCAGATCGTTGACCAGGTGGCTCCCGAGTCGGTTGATCTGAACAGTTGGGCGTCAGGCCACCAAAGGTTCAGTGCCGCTACTACGAGCGTCCCGGGCTGCTGCATGTCAAGACCCAAACCACCAAAGCCGTGGGCTAGGGTGGCATTTGGCACCGGAGTAATGTCTTTCCAAGTTGAGTTTCTCAGGTCGTATCTCCAGACGGATCCTTTGGTACCGTCGAAGGGTCCGAGCCCATTACTGTAAGTGAGATAAAGCGCCTTTTCCTCTGGCTGCAGTTTGGCCTTGTGCGGGAAGTAATCGCCTGGTTGGCCCCTGTTATGTCAGCTGTTAGCAGGTGTTCAATCATGTTCTTTCTCTACCTTGAAGACTGCGCCCAGGTTGAGGCATGGCGATGTGAATCGGCCGGTCAGGGACTGCTCGGGCGTACTCACTTTACCGGCTCCCAGTTCTCACCGGCGTCATTGGAGACCCATACAGTCTCGACATCTCCGTCGTTGGCCGATCCAACAAAGATACGTTTTGTGGCACCGGCGTCTGTAGTCCCGGATGTCTCATCGAACGTGACAAAAGTCAGTCCCTGGAGGTCGGTTCCCACCCCAGTTATGTCACTTTTGTTCTGCGCAGCATTCCCAACTGCCGTGAAGGAAGTGACGTTGTTGAAAGTGGCGCCTGCATCCGTAGACCTCCACAGACCTTTTCCGCTTCGAGCTCCGAGGTAGATGATGTCCGAGTTGGCCGGGTCCACAGCGAGACGTTCGCCCATACCGCGACCTGGCATGTTGCCTCCAACCCTGAAGGGAAGCTGGGTAGAGTTCCAGGTGGCACCCCGATCTGAGCTTCGGACGATCGCTCCGTTGGTGTCTGTGCTGTATCTGGCGACTGATATCAGCTTCCTGTAAACCGTAGCCTCCGCTAGCTAACCACCAATGAAAGTGGACTAACACTGTGTCGACAGTGTAACCGCCTACAGCGGCATACACCATGTTATCGTTCTGAGGGTCTACTGCAACAGCATCAATACCCCAGTTGTGCCTGGTGTTTTAACTAGTTGTCAGTCATCATTACCATATCGCTTCCTCAGGCTGCATCTTCAAGACTCTTACCATCCCTCGTCAGTGGCGAGGCTGTCTGTAACAGGAATCCAGGAATCATCAGTCCCATTCAATCTATACAGGCCTCCAATATCTGTCCTCGCATATGCGATTCCTTCTGAGTTTGGATGGAAGACAATCCCAGTTGTGAAGCCCCCGGAGGCGCCAGTGCGGACATTCTGCCAATCTAGCGCTGCTTGTCCAGAGGCCACTGACATGGCCAACAGCGAAAAAGAACGCAAGGCCATTGTTGCGATGAGCTCCAAAATATGGTGAAGAAGTAAAGACTGTGGTACCAAAAAAGGCAGCCCTGCAGGGCAAAAAGAAAGAAAGAGGTAGTTAGGAGTAGTCAATTATGACTTCCAATAAATGCAGGATACCGCCTAAAAACACTATGAAATCCATCTTGCAAAGCCCAAGACTTTATGTACTCCCTCGCGTGGAGTTCATCCACGAGTAGCAAGCTTGCGCCTAGCTAACAGCTCTGCCAATTATATTAAGAGGTGATAGAGTCAGTTGCATCATCTCGGTACAGTTACCTCCGCAGCTTGCCGATTTTCCCGACTGGTCAGTCTTGGTAGTCGCCAAGGATTGCACTTGTTTCATTGTTTCACAAATGCGGAATTCGCTAAACTTTATCAGAGCATGTCCCCTGAAGCGGACATCACCACACTCCGAAGACAAAACTCAATGCACTTATTATGTTTGTGCCATGGATGCAGTAGATAGACTTTACCCAACCAAGGCTAATAATAGCGTGGCTCAAGCTTGAGCCACCTGCCCGGTATCAACAAGTCAATACATCAACAGTGCAGTGTCATCAAATATATCGTGATGTATTTCTGCTGGCCACCTACTCTGTGTTTAAAATGCTGGACACGCATTGAATAATTCTGGATCGCTTCGGCGATCTGAATTGGCTCTTAGGGTAGAGGCCATCCCGGAACAATTGATGGTCATTCCAACTTATTTTTGTCTCTAGAGTAGTGCATTTGCGTTGTCGAGATCAGTCTTGACAGGCTCATTCGATATAGCAGTGTAACATTGTCTATTTCTTTTTCTTTTTGAGCGGATCGTTCGACATGTCGGTGACAGGCATCCCACCACTCATGACTCCATCAATTTATCCTGCATTTGTTGAGGTACAGGCAATCGATTGGTGACCAAAAAGATCATGTCAACTGCCTCCGTCTGGTCTGACGAGTCACGAGATTTGCTTCAGTTCATTTGCTCTACATTGTGACTGGCTTCTTGTGCCGTACACGCCTCACCGAAATATTATAAGAGGCTTGAAGAAACCGATGGAAAGCAGCTTTGTCTGGTGTTAGCGAGCTCACTTTCCCAGTGGCCAGTATGACTTGGATTTCAATTTACGATAGCTACTATATAGACAGCCAAAGTATTAGCCTCTTTTAATTAAGCGCACAGGAAGAAAGAAACCAATATGCAGTAAAACGATACCTTACGTTGTAGTGCCACCAGGGTGACCACGCAATGAACAAGGTCACAACTGTGCAGCTGTTTCAGTCTACTTTTGGTTTGAAACAAATTGTGATGAATAAGAAGCGGCATTCTCGACCATCATACAACCAAGTGCGAAAAGTCCTGGGCCTCGTTCAGAAACCACGACGTATTTGACAGTTTATACACGCTAGAGCCCGACATTCCCCTCATCCGCGGTATCTAGCTTTACAATGGGAACATGAGGGTAGAGTTCAGGGACATCTTGGACCTTGTATTCTTCAACCTTATCGATCCGAGTAGAGTCAACCCAATTGTCAGGGACCGCAGAGCGAAGGCCTGTAACAGGCAGTTAGGGCCCGGAGAGAAATATTCCACCTCTCCCGTCTGATAGTCGACACGAGCCAGTGCATTCAAGCCCTGAAAAACATTCTTGTTCGAGTCTGAATTTGGATCAAAACAATCGAGCCAGGTGATGCGAGCTAGTGTGTTGGAATTCGTCAGTCATCCAGCCCCTAAATTAGATTCATGCTGCTTTTCATGTACTCTTGCTCATCAGAAACCTCTCGTCGATACGTGGGAACTCACACGGACCACGAAGGACGATCTCTAGATGATGTTTGAGCTATTGGATCTTCCGTATTCCAGGGCTCAAGAGTCCTACCTGGCTCGGGCAACTCGTCCGATGTGCTATTGGGGTCGATGCAGAATTTCACGTAATTGACTGACACATCTTTCGGCTCCGGGTTCGGGCCCTGGCGACAAGCTATTCATGTCGTGAGCTATGGCATCTGATCAAAAAAAGGTGAGGCCTACGTAAAAAGCTCATGCCATTGTGCGAGGCAAGTGTCGTATCGAAATATCTGAGCATCTGTTAGCAAACATCTGACTCTGTTGCAGAGGGCTTCAGCCTCCCTACACTTTTCCGTTCTCCTCCCATGAAGCTCTCGTATGAATAGGCATCGAGTTCTTGTACTTGTACCATCGGACCGGCTTTCTGATGTCTCGTGGAATGAGCCCAAAGTAGGCCGGACAGTTCTCGTCGTAGTACCTGTGCTCTTTGCATGAGCTTTGCCATCTACACAACAACAAACTGAAGCCTCACCATTGATGGTTTCCTGGTTTCTCAATGTCTTTCAGGTCAACCATGTAGGGCATCCGCATTATGACCGATGTAGTTGTGGGTCTGAGGAGGCATATCAGTGCGAGCTTCGTGGTATTGCCGGAGGGGAGGGGGTCTTACCATTGCGCAGTCGTGAAACATTCCACCGGTAGGGTAAAACTCAATATCACGTCGATACGTGACCTCTCCGTGCTTGTTGATAGTGTAGATGGCGATCTAGATATAACGTCAGTCTGGTAAACTGCACGTCTTGTGAACGCTTTTGCCTCACTTGTGGACTGTCTAGTCCCTCCATCTCGTAGCCAAAAGAAATCAAATCACCTGTCTCAGGATCAACCTATAAGAGGAGTCAGTGTCACAAATCCCCCGGCATCATCTACACCCGGGCATGCTCACATGTGGGTGCCCAGTGAATGGCTTCGTGGGGTCAAGGTGACCGGGAAATGGGTCCTGCCCGATAGTGCGTAGGCTCTCTGAGGTTGGAAGACTTAGCAGCTCGACCCGTACAGATAGATCTTGGGGGCTCACTGGGATCCAACTCATAGGCTGGTCCGTTCTCTCCCACAGCCAGCAGCTTGTTGGCATGGACGAGCACATTAACGTTTGCCGCAGAGTCTATAACGGCGCGGACACATGGATGGTGGGAAAAGGGGTTTTTGCTGTTTCCGAAGAGAGACCTGCCGGCCTTTCTCTCAGCGAAGAGGCGCTCCGTCATGACATATCTCTGCTGAAAAGAAGCCTTTCCGCCCTTTACCCTGAAGGCGCTGATGCTGCCGTCTCCGTCGAAAGGTATAGATTTAGCTCCGTTGAGATAGTACGATCTGTCATAGTACGGGTCCTGCATCACCCAAACAGAACAGTCAGGACTGGATGCTTTTGGGGAATGGTCCACTCGACAAGCCCTATATAAGGTACCGTCAAGCTCCTTTGGGATCTCTCCTTCGACCTCAACATCCTCGATTTCGACGTCGGCTCTGAACGGACGCGACACGGCGGCAAAGTCGCTAAATGTATTTATTTTAACCACTTTGGCGAAGTAAAGATAGTGTTGATCAATGCTTATATTCAATAGACTCCTGTTGTTGTTGAAAACTGGCGGTCTGGGAATGCCTAGGTAGGTTGGTTGTGTAGGTCGGTTTTCTCATTTATCCTGCGACTTTAAATGAGAGATTGACCGTGACACCCGTAGCAGTCCATTTAGGATACTGGTTGGAAGCCACTGGTAGTTGAGGCACTATGTGGCTAGCCCATCCAAGTTTGATGGAATTGCCAGTACGACACGTCGAGCCACTGGCACATCGGAGATGGTGATGATGACGGAGCCACATGGAGCCACATGGAGCCACATGGAGCCACATGGAGCCACATGGAGCCACATGGAGACACAAAACACCCGCTCGACAAAGGGAATGATCTCGAAAAGTTTCCATCAATCTTGTTTCAGGACTATTGCACTTAAGAGCTTCTCTAATTGGGTCAAAACTGCGAGCGAAGCTGCATCAGCCCCATCCCGCCTGTTCACTGTCGGACCGGCAGCCGAGTGCCCCATCCACTAGTAGCACCAAATATTTGATCAGGCATTTGAATCGAGAAGTCATGTAATCGAGTTTTTGGCGACTGGTTCACTGGCGCCTGGGCCATTTTATGGCCAAGCTCTACAAATGGCGCCCACCCCCGATCGGCGCGTGTATGAGACGCGTCACAAGCAGTCTTGCAACTCCGGAGCTAAGCAGCCGCACAAACTTCACTATTTCAAAGCTTCATGGCTAGCCAGTGGTGGTATATGCCTTTGAGGTGACTGCTTCTACTGCGGGTTTGTCCAAGATCTCGATCAGGACGCGCTCTGCCTAGACCAAGATGACATTGTAGAGTAGACACGGATCTCCATACAAGAGTTAAATATTTCAGAACTCGTCAAAAAACTCCTATTTCACGAGATCTTCCTCGTTCTCCCACGAGTACACAATCCCGGTTGCCGAATTTGGCCTTGGCACCGAGATCTGTCTCTATATCTGACTGGGTATCGGGGGTATGCACCAGCCTCAAAGGCTTTTTCAGGGACGACTTGCCTTGCCATTTGTTCATTGACACGATCTCATCTCCTGTGGCATCGAGAGCAACGATTTACGCCGACCATCAACGTGACGGAAAGGGAGCCGTTAGAAAGCGTCCGTTCTCGCAGCAGTCCGAGTGATAGAAAAACTGTTGCTGGGATCTTCGATTGAAAACAAATTAACAACAACTTTTGCATCTAGGCTGTCATGAAGCCATCCCAATTCCTCAGTGTCTCTCTGCACTCTTGCTCGTAAACATGGAGACCTCCAAGGTAGTTCAGCTGCTCCCGAGGCTTTCCAGGGATATTCGCACCCATATACCAAGAATTCGCAAGCGGGAAGAGAGTGTGGTCCGACAGAGTATTTACCCTGTCCTTCCATTTCTTCTCAGCTTCATCCGTCGGCTCAATTTTCCGGAGTCCAGTCGCATCCATCTTGAGAATCACATCGACAATCCAGTTTCCCTGTGCTTCGATGCATGAGGGCCCGTTTGAAAAGGCAGTGGGGGCGTGCACAGAGTAGGTGAAAAACATGTTTGGGTATCCCTTCCGCGATAGCCCGAGGTATGTGCTTGCTCCTTTCTTCCATTCCTCAGATAGTGGCACGCCGTCGACGTTGCGGAGACCCATGTTGATCAAGCTACCTGTTACGGCGTCGTAGCCCGTAGCCAGAGCTATGGCATCGAGGGCAAAGAAAGCGCTGCTGGCAGTTCGGATGCCTCGTGGAGCGACTTCAACAATATGGTCCTCTTTGATGTTAACCACCATCACGTTGGATCTGTCCAGAACATCAAAGTAGTCCTGCTCCAGCGAGGGTCGCTTTGTTCCGAATGGATGGGGAGGTTCAAGAGGGGCGATGATATCCCTCTTTGCTGGGTCGCTGATTCTGGCACGAGTCTTCCGAGCCCAGAAGTTATACGCTTCACGGTTTGCCTTCAAGTCGGAGAGGATGTCGCGGTAATTTGAGATCCAAAAGCCAAACCCACCTTGCTTCCAGCGATGCTCGAAAAAGGCCTCTCGGTCCTCGGAAGTGTCATCAAACACGGGCACCGGGGTAGCGACTTTGGTTCCACACTCCGCCTAGATCGGATCCCGACTCAAAGATTCTGCACTTGTAGCCGAGCTCTCGGAGGCGGTAGAGCAGGTAGATGCCGCCGAAGCCTGCTCCTACGATGAGACAGTCGAAGTCAGGTTTCGTGGATAAATCGTCAGAATTCCGCGCAGGTTTCGTCATGTCTGCTGCCAAATGATCGATGAAATCTCTCGTTGAGGTTGAATGGTGGCTCCTCTTTGGCCAGGGAGTTTGAGCGCCTGTACCAACGACTGCTGAGCTTGGTGGCGAAAAGACCAATTTTCAAGGGCAGAGAACGAGGATGAGTCGAAGGAGTAACATGATATACGGTGAAGAATGACAATATTTAACGTATGCTATAGTGACATATACACCCTTCTACCCTCTGGCTCAAACCTTAGAATACCCGGAGCGAGGCTGCTGAGGTATAAGTGGAGATCCTAGTGGCTCCAAGCCGTGTGGTTCTATGATTAACTGCGTGTGGCTCTCTAATTACTAGTCTGCATGTGGGCTACCATGTGGCTCTCGCGGAACCTTGTCCATGTGGCTCCAAAGTGGCAGCCTGAGTGGCTCCAATCATTATACGGCCAACCTGAATCCAATCATCTCCATGAGAGCGCAGAGACTAGCACCGGGTTGAAATCACAGTAATAATTTTATATGTGTAACATATACTTGTACTACGCCGTGATTAAATGTCTTTTGATAGGACGCGGCTTGGTCTTTGCAAGAAAATCAGTGCTAGAAGAGAGCAGCCATAATTAGGTAACGTCCCTCCTCGTCAACAGTTATCGCCTACACCGTGACCTTACTAATAGTACTCCATTAGAAGATGCTAGGTTTGTAGAAGTAGCAAGATATCATCTCATCGCCCTCAAAATGAAGTCGTGGACAGATTTGTCATGATTGGAGTTGATCCTTCGTGAAATACTCTCACAGCCCACAACCGACAGAATAGCGTTCAAGCACCTCGGTGTCTTACAAAGCATGTGTTGCCTGTAACTGCACAGCCCAGTGGGCTGCTCGATCCAGTAGGAGCGAGCGGAATGTCAAGTGTTTATTTATCGTAGCGGAGTGGTTGCCAACTCCGCTATGTGTGGAAAACAAAACGTTACCCCCCCCCTGTTATCTTGGTTAGCTATCCCCCCCTGCACCAAAATTTGGCTGTGGAAGCGAAATATGCATTAAAATCACCAAGGACACCCTTATTAATATTACTACGCACCCAATTTAGCAAAAAAGAGGTCATTATAACCCCATTTTACATATATCTTTAAAATAATTAAAAGTAATAAAATTAACTTAAGCCCATTACGTTAAGGGGTACACGCTTTACTAGCCCTAGCTTAAAGTAATTATAGCCTACTTAAATTAATTGGTAACTTATTTTAATAGCCCTTAAGAAACAAAAGCTTAGCTATTATAATTATATACTTATTTATAACATTAAGTTATTTACTTTGCTAATAAGGCATATATTAATTAATTAATAGCGTTATTATATATAAAAAAGCTAATAATAAAGGCAAAGGCTGTTGCTATTATAAAATAAAAGCTAGTAGCTTAATTAAAGCCTTTTTAAAATAAATAAATAGCTATTTAATATGCTGCTTAGCATATCGTTAAGAATGCTAAAAAGGTTACCCTTAAAGCTATTTTTAATAAAAATAATGCTTTAAGCAGCTTAAATAAAGCTAAGGGTGCTTATATTAACTAAAAGATATTAAGTATATTTAAATCATTGCTATTAGCTAGTAATGCTAAGGGTAGTAATATTAAAAAGCTAAGAAGCTATTTCTTGCTAAGGAAGTTATTAAGGAAAGCATTTTTAATATTATATATAAAAGTTATTAGCATAAAGGCTTTTTTAATGCCGTTAATAAAGCAATAAAGCTTTAAGTTTAATAATAATAGGTATAAGGCTTTTAATATTAATTTATTGCTTAATAAGCTTTTTTTAAGATAAAAAATTAAGTTAAGGCTAAGCTTATTAATATAAGGGATATAATAATTAAGCTATTATAAGTTTTATTTAAGGTAAGTTTTTAGCTATAAATAAAAATATTCTTAGTTTAATTAAGTATAATAAGGAGAAATAAAAGGCATTTTAAAAAAAAACTTCTTAATAATAAAATTATAAAGATGCTTTTATTAAGCAAGGGTTTTTATTATCTTATAATTATATATATTTATAAAATAATATTTTTAATAATATAAATAACGTCTTATAATATTGCAATGCTAAGATAACTAAATATTAAGATCTTTAAGCCTTCCTTATTAATGAGGTTAATGCTTAGCTTAGTAAATAATTTATTAATAGCTAAGCACTTAAAAAGTATCCCTTTAATAAGAAAATTATTATTACCTTAAGGCTTTTAAAAAGGATTAATTATTATTTATATAATAATTATAATAAATAGTAATTAATTATTTATTTTTAAGGCTTATAAAAAGCTAATGTAAATATAATAATGCTTTAAAGGTTTTTATTATAAGGTTAATTATTATTATTATAATAAGGGGGATTCTTTATAATAATAATATTATATTAAAAAGAATAATATATATATAAATATTATTAATATTAATTTAAACTTATAAGTATAAATAATAATTAATAATAAGGCTGTTATTTAAAAGCCTTTAAAAAAGCTTTTTATTAAATAAATAAATATTATTAAAGCTAATAAAAATAATAAAGAACTTAATAATAATAATATTAGCCTTATATATAAGTAAAAAAAGCTTAAAAAGGGTAATAAGTAAAGGGAAAATAATATTAATATAATAATTAACTTATTAATTAATCTTTATGCCCTTAGCTTTATATATAAGTACTTAATAATATCGCCGTTAATGTTATGGGCTAGCCTTGAGTTGTTTGCCGTAAGGTATTTAAATGGAGTTTATATTTAAAGTATAAAGGAAAAGGTTTACTCTTTATTTATATTCATGCTAAAGCCTATTTTTATAAAGCTAAAGCCTATTAATTAATTATAATAAGCAAAGCCTAAACCATAATATATCTTCCTTTTTTAAGTTTTTATAGCAGGCCTTAAAAAATAGCTATATAATAAAAAATAAAGAATATTATGATTTAATTATAAATTAAATATTGCTCTTTACCTAGCTATTTAATTATACCTTAGCGCCTCTTAATTACATTAAAAGCTTAGCTTATTATTTATAATTAGCATGCTTTAATTTTTATAATTTAATATATTAGCTAAAGTAAGCTAATAAAAAATAATTATTTAAATATAAGTTAGCAGCTAAATTAATAATATTTTTATAATCCTTTAATATAAGCCTTTTATATAAGCTTTTTTATTTAAAATCTTAAAATTATAAATTTATTATATAATTTATAATTAATTAATGCTTAATTATAAGTAATTTACTTTATTAATAAAAATTTCCTAAATTTTAAGCATTTTTATAGGATTAAATTAATTAGCATGTAGTTAATTTACTTTAAGTTTAGATTAATATTAAGTTAGCATTGCTTTCAAGCTTTATCTTATAAAAAAAATTTTACGCCCCCTTAAATAAACTCCTTTTCCTTATTAGCCTTAATTAATAAAAGTTATATTCTTATTTTCTTATAATAATTAAGATAGTTATGCTTATAATAACTAAATTAATTATATATAAAATACTTAACTTTGCTTATTAAAATTATTATAATATTAATATTTATTGCTTTATTATTTTAAGGTTAAGTATTATTTTCTTTTATTATAGCGTTAAAAATGCCCTTATATTACTATAAGGTAAAGCAAAAGGCCTTAAATATATTTAGCTACTTTTTATAATTAAGCTAAGCTTTTATTATAAAGATTAAATTATTAGCTATTAATAATATTTTATATTTATTTAGCTAACTTTAAATTTTTATTATATAAGCTAATTAATTAAATTAAGTAAAAAATTTTGCTATTCTTTCTTTATAATATTATTATAATGTAATTAAGTTAAGCTTAGCATATTTTTGCTTAAAAAGGTTCTTAAGTATAAAGTAAACCTTTTTTAAAAAGCTTTTTAATTACTCCTTAAATATCTTTATAAAACTAATATAAAGTAAAAATTAATTATAAAAAGTTTTTAATTAATTAAATATATAAAAGAATTAAGCCTTTTTAGTATTAATTACTTCCTTATTTACTATAAACTTAGCCTTTATCTTTATTAATTAAGTTGCTAAGTATTCTTAAGATAAAAGTTCTTTTAAATAAAAAAGGGCTTAATAAGTTATTATTATTCTTTTTAAATTTCGTTATATTAAGTTTTATATAATTGCATTATAAGTTTATAATATAAGAGGACTTTAAATATATATTATAAGCTAGTTTTAGGTTATTTATTATAAGGTATTTAAATAGGGTTTATATTTAAAGTATAGAGGAGAAGGTTTACTTCCCGTTTATACCTATGCTAAAGCCTATTCTTATAGGGCTAAAGCCCACTAATTAATTACAATGGGCAAAGCCTAAACCGTAACAGTTAATGTTATTAATGCCTTTATTAGCATATTTATTAAGGGGCTTTAAAGAGCTGCTAATATTGCTAATGCTAGTAACTTTTTGCTTAAGCAGCCTTATACGCTATTATTAACTACTTATGCTTTTATTATTACTGTTATAAATACTTAGTAATTAAAAGGCCTTTAGTAAAAACTTTATATTTAAGGCCTTATAAAAGCATTTCTATATATTAATAAAGAGAAAGTAATTAATAAAGTTGTAAAAGGTTATAAAATATAAGGGCATTAATCTTTAAGCTTTATATTTAAAGAAGGATATTTAATTTAATAAAAAGGGCTTAAATAATATTAAATTAATTAAAAGGTTTATAAAGCTATATTTAAAGGAAAGGAAGAACTTTTTTAAATTTTTTAAAAGTAATGAGGAAAAGGAGGACTTGCTGCCGTTATTAACGCTAGTATAGGATAAGAATTATAATTTTTAATAAGCAAGAAGCCTTTTAATATTAGCTAATAATGCATTAATATTAAAAAGTAAATTTAAAGCGTTTTTTAATACATTTTAAGTATTTAATTAATATTATTTATAAGAAAAAAAGTAATATAGTTAGCAAAATAATTAATAAAGTAATTATATATAAAAAAAAGTATTTATTTAAATATTTAAAAAGTTAAT